AATCTGGGTATCCCAGGTCCCTCCAGGATTCCCCTGCAAAGGCCATGACCTGCCACAGCTTCCATGAGGGCACTGCTGCCTGTTTCCATGGGCCCAGCCTGAAGTTCCTCTCTTCTTTGCTCTTTGTTCCTCCCACTAGTGACACCTTACTTCCCAGGTCTCTTTCTTGCCAAATTTAAAAACCATCAGAAGTGTTCTTAGCCCTTCTCCTCCAAGATGGTTCAATTCTTACTACTGACTTGCTGCTGATCTTGTTTTCCTGAAAAAAATATCCAGCCCCAGTGCTCTCCACAAACCATTCATTTTCTCCTTTCATTCACTCCAAATTTCCAAAACAAATAAAGGCCTACCACCTTCTTAGTTCACCTCTTCCTGTACACCTCTGCACAGCCCATCCTCCCGCTTCACTTTTCTCTTTCTGCATGCTTATTGGCCACACTCTAAGAGAATAAAAGGTCCCTGAAAGCAGAGATTTTTGCTTATCATTAAATCCCCAGCTCCTAGATGAGTGCCAGATGCACAGCAGTTGTTGAAAAGCCAAGGGCTTTGTTTTGCACATTGCCTGGCATCTAGTAAGCAGATATTTACTGAATATAGTGAATGAACCTGGTTGCTGGGTAAATTTTTCTTTTTCTTTTTTTTTTTTTTTGTACCAGGGATCAAACCCACGACCTCAGGCTTATCAGGCAAGCACCTGAACCACTGAGTTAAATCTTCAGCCTTCTGATTTTTTTGTACTGGGGATCGAACTCATGACTGCGCACTTGCAATGAATGCCACTGAGATAAATTTCCAGCCCCTGTGATTTTTTTGTTTTAAGCCTGCTTTATGTGGTTGTTATTGTTAGCATCTGCCGCTTCCTGTTATTCCCTCACACCTGAGCTTCAGCAATAACCTTTGAAGCCCTACAGTGAAGCCCATCCTGCATGCATATGCCACATTATTGTGTTGAAATAATTTTTATTCTTTTATGAAAATACTGTGATAGGGGCTTAGCTCAGCTAAGCGGATTTAGCTCAGCGGCATAAATGCCTGCCCTGCAAGCACGTGGTTATGAGTTCGATCCCGGTACCGATAAAAAAGAAAAGAAAAGAAAAGAAAATACTGTGATATTGTTTCTCTGCTCAAAAATTTCCAGTGCTTCACTACTAGTAGTTTCTAATGTACAAACAGGTGATATTGCAAGAGCTTGTTTGTAAGCTGGCTGCTGAGAACAGGAAAAAGCTGACTATCCTTGGTACATAATGAAGTCATTCAACTTTTTTTTTTTTTTTGGTATCAAGAACCGAACTCATGATCTTGTGCTTGCCAGGCAGGCGCTTGTGCTGCTGAGCTAAATCCCTGCCCCTCCCTTTGTACATACTGACCAAGTCATAAAAGTTTACATTCACATATACATATATATTTATGAGGAAGAGAAAGAGCCTGAGGGATTTTAACAAAGCTCCTCACTGAACAGTAGTTGAAGTAAATGTAAAACAATGTTTCTACAGGAAAAGATGCACAGATTCATTTTAGGATGCCAGGCACACATCCTGGCCTGTAAGGAATTCCTCCTCCAAGCCAAATCGATGATGCTCACAGGCTGTGACAGCGGCTGTCTAAATACACCTGGCATTTAAGGCTCTCTCATATTCTGGTGTCATCATGAAATCTTTATGATGGAATCCTTTCCCCATCATTGTAGTAGCAGTGATAGCTTTCCTGCTCTGAAGTCTAGACAGCTTATTTGACAGCTATTCTATCTACCGCACAATCATGTATTTTTAATTCCTTGTGAGTATGTCTTTACTCAGATATGGTAGTGAACATTTGGAGGAAAAAGGTTCTATTCTTATATCCTCTACAATCCATATAGCACGTAATAGTAAGCACCTGTTACTGAATAAATGGAGAAATTAATGCCTGCTGTATTCCAGATGATACATCCTGGGAAAAAACTGTAATCTCACTTTCATAATGGCCAATTATGTTTTATCTCCCCAAAGTATGCTGTAGCTCTAACATCAGGAGACTGCCTTGAGAATGTACAGGAGAGTCTACAATAGGAAATGGCTGGAAATATGACAGAATCAGTCCAAAATGACCTTGACTAACGTAAGTTACTGTCACAGACCTACATACATCACATCACTTACAAACATACCCTGACAGCCACAGTATTCTGTGAGGACCCTGGGGCTCCAAGACAATATAACACATCCAAAAGCTTTTCAGGAGTGGAACCCAGATTTCAAAGCTAGCATCAAATCCAATCTTTCTGACCTCAGAGAAGGCTGTTAAGATGATATAGTGGGGGCTGGGGATTTAGCTCAGCGGCATAAGCGCCTGCCTTGCAAGCAGGCAGTCGTGAGTTCGATCCCTGGTACTGATAAAAACGAAAAAGATGGGGCTGGGGATTTAGCTCATGGGCATAAGCGCCTGCCTTGCAAGCAGGCAGTCGTGAGTTTGATCCCTGGTACCGATAAAAATGAAGACGACAAAAAAAAAAAAAAAAAAAAAAAAAACCCCGAAAAAGATGATATAGTGACCAACTGCCTCCTAGGCACTGCAAGGCTAATATACTTATCTGATCGTTATCTGAGGCTTCTTTTCTCCTTATTTCCTAAAACCTCTGGGACAAAGGAGGATTGACACTAATCTTCCCAGGCCAAGAAGGAGTTTTCATCAAGAGCACATGTTGGAGCCGGGCACGGTGGCTCACGTCTGTAAATCCCAGCTCTAGGGAGGCTGAGGCTGGAGGATCATTGCGAGTTCGAGACCAGCCAGGGCTATAAAGTGAGCTCAAGGCCAGCTTGAACTGCACAGCAAGACCCTGTCTCAAAAAGACAAAAAAGACAGCCAGGGTTTTAGCTCAGTGCTGTAAGCACTGGCCTGGCAAGCACAAGTTTGCCAGGCCCTGGTACCAAAAAAAAAAAAAAAAAAAAAAAGAGCACATGATGGGCTGGGGATTTAGCTCAGGGTGTAAGTGCCTGCCTGGCAAGTGCATCCTGAGTTTGATCCCTGAAACACACAAACAAAAAGCACATGAGCAACTCCTCTCTCCAGTCAATATCTTCAGGTTCCAAGCCCATGCTCATGTGCATTACACTGATTCTTTGAGCCTGGAAAAACAACTCAAGACCTGAGTTACCTGCTGCTAAAGGATCTTGCCTGCAACACTGTTAAAAACAAAAAGCTTCTCTGGGGATTTAGCTCAGTGGCATAAGTGCCTGCCTGGCAAGTGCGAGGTCGTGAGTTCGATCCCCAGTTCTGCAAAAAACGGAAAAAAAAAAAAAAAAAAGGAAAAAAAAACTTATGAACTTCATCAATGTCTATTAGCTTTGGTTAAATGACAGTACAATCATCAGAGGAAGACTTCTGATAAAAGTATACTGTTAAAGAATAAAACGCAAGATACATATGCATGTGTTTGTACAAGCACAGGAAATTCGTGGAAGGCCATTTATGCATTCAACTAATATTTATTAAGCATTTTGGCAAGTTGTGTGTGTGTGTGTGTGTGTGTGTGGATGGTGCTGGGAATCAAAGCTAGAGACTTGTGCACGCAGAGCAAGAGCTTTATCACTCAACCACATCCTCAGACCATTATTAAGCATTTTAAAATATCCAAGAAACTGATACCTGTGAGGAGTGGTTCAGAAAAACAAATTTTACTTGAACTGTTTGGTCTGCTTCTGTACCCACCCCATCCCAATAATAGGGATGGAATTCAGGGGTATTTTACCTACAAACTATATTCTTTTTATTTGAGATAAGGTCTCCTTAAACTGTCCAGACTAGCCTTGGACTTGCAATTTCTGCCTCAGTCTGCCCTGTAGCTAGGATTACAGGTGTGCACCACTGGGCCCGCACCACATATATATATGTATATATATATATATATACACATATATATATATACACATATATATGTATATATATATGTATATATATACATATATATATATGTATTTTTTTTGGTCGAAAACCACGATCATTGCTTTTATAGTAAATGGAAGTCCGATAAAATAAGGTAGAACTATCCAACAGGTGCTTGACTAGAGAAGGATGAGGTTATTAAAAACATAATAAGGAACTTTAAAATCTCAACAGTTCCATAGTGAGGTTGGCAGTAGGCACAACTTTCCAGTTCTAAAGGTAGAGCAAGTGAGAGCTCATTCTGAAACTGGAAAAACCTGGAGCTGAAGGTACTGAGCACTGCTCGACTTCTGGCGGCCCTGGCCTCCCTAACCACACGATTTTGAGATATATATCTGCAGGTGGTGTGAAACTGAAGCTGAGGCAGAGGCTGTTTAGGGTGCGTCTTACATAGAGGGTCACCCATTTCCGAGGCTCAGCTTCAAGCTGCATGGGACTCCGGATCTGCAACTATCATGATCCTTTAACCAGAGACAACTCAGGCTGCAGAGGTAACAGGGCTAGTGGTGATTTCGACCCAGCGCTGACCTCAAGCTACACTCCGAACAGCTCCGCTCCAGTGGGCGACTCTTGTGCTAGCTCGGCAGCCACCTCTGCGGTCCAGCAGCCCGGAAGCAGCATAGACGCCGAGAGGGGGCGGAGTGTCCGAGTCTGCACCGCAGCCCGAGTCCCGGGACCAGAGGAAGCTGGAGCTCGGGGTGAACCCCGCCCACCGGCCGCAACGTGCCTGTCGTTTCCTCTGTGTAGCGCGTACGAAAGGTCTTGAAGATGAAGGAGCGAGGATATCACAGATGGGCTTCTCTGGCAGTCTAAGCTTCTTTCGGTTAGAGCTGGACAGTGAACCCACCCTGCTAGCAATAAGGACAGCTGGCAGCAGCTGCAGCGATGAGCGACGCGGAAAACGTGCCCGCGCCCGTCCAGATTTGGCCAAGGCGCGTGCGCGGTGCGCGTGCGCGACGAGGGCGCGGCCGGCCGGGTTTGCGGCTGCGCAGAGGCGGCCCCAAGCCCCGCGCCTGCGCTGTGACGGGGCGGGGCGGGGCGGGAAGGAGGGAGGCGGTGGCACCGGCGGCGGCTGCCGAGGAGGAGGAGAAGGAGGAGGGGGAGCGGAGGGAGGTGTTTCTGTCAGTTCCGGCTGTTTGTTCGGGAAGTGAATCCGCCGCTGCGGGAGCAGCCCGGAGCTGCGGTTCGCGAGGCCAGTACCGACCCCGCCCGCCCGCGCGCACCGCCCCCGCCCGCCATGGCCCGGGACTACGACCACCTCTTCAAGCTGCTCATCATCGGCGACAGCGGTGAGGGCCGCAGCGGCCGGAGGCGGCGCGGGCCCTGCCGGGCGCGGCCCGCCGGGGCCTCGGGGCGGGCGGGCAGGCGGGCGGGGAGCTGCCGGCTTGCGCGGGGCGGGACTGCCCAGCGGCCGCGGGCCCCAGGGGCGCGGCGAGGGGAGGCCGGGGAGCTGGGCTGCGGAGCGGAGGGCCGGGGGGTGCGGGGTCCACTCCCTGCGCCGGCTCCTGCTTCAACGTGTGACCTTAGTCAAGTCACGCGATCACTGGAGTTGGAGAGACCTGGGTTCGAGTTCTGGGACTACCAGCTTCTTCACTCTGTGACCTTGAGCAAGTTGCTTCACCTTTCTGAGCCTCAGTTCCTGCATCTGAGAAGTGGGGGACTTGCTCGCTGGGTAGTGTGAGTATTCAGTAAGAGAAAGTAGACAAAGTGCTTGGCGCCTGAGCTGGTGTATATAAGCTCTAAGTAAATGTTAGGTAGTGTGGTTTTCATCATCAATATCTTTTGTGAATCTAGTTCCTCTATGAAATGGGGGATATTACTAGAACTTGTCTCCTGGGATTGCAGTGAGTTTTGAACTGTGAGGTTTAAAGACAGTTGAAGCACTTCACACTCCTGCTGGATTTTTAAATCTCTGCATGGTTCAGTTTCCTCATCTGTGCAATGGAATAACAATAGGTCTGCTTCACAGTGCCATGTGAGTATTCAGTGAGATGGTGTGCACACAGTGTTTGGGACCTGAGTCTGGCACACAGCAAGTGATCTTATCAGTAAATGTCTTCTTTTACCCTCCTGTCTGCCAGAGGGACTTTGGGGGTGGCCAGTATTAGAGCAGTGTTACAGCCACATACACACCTCCTTGAAGACTTCTAGTTCAAATCTCAACACCATCTCCAGTTTGTAGAACAGTACCTGGCACCCAGTAAGTGCTTAATACGTATTTGTTGAATGAATGAGCATTAAGTGTTCTTAGCAAAGATAGACTGGTTACTGGCAGAGCGTGGCAGGTAATAGAGGTGTTTGGAGTATGATGGATGAGCAGGTTTATGGGTGACCAAGAGGTCAAAGAGGCAGAGCCCAGAAGGTTTATGGGCACATAACTGAGGTGCTGGGATTATAGGATGTTTAGGAAGGAGGCTTGGGTGCAGCCAAGTTTGTAGACTAGGCCTGAGTCAAGTAGAGAAGGCGATGCCACTGGAGGCAGAGGCCAGGTTGGTTCCAGAGTCCATGGTGTTAAAGGCCCAGATTGCTTGTGAGCTCCAGAACATAGGAGTGGTGGGTGACAGTGTCATAGATAAATCATGGAAGTGGATAGTGTTTGGTCTCACTTGTAAAGCTGGATTGGGATGTGGTTGGTTTGGATCAGGGGAAAGTTGGCTAAGGTTTCTGTGGTTGCTGGTGGAAGGGAGATAGAAGGGGGAAAGTTAGGGGCTAACTGATGAGATAGAGTAACTGTGGTTGGGAAAAGGTTATAAAGGTGGAAGACTGATTGGTTGTGGTTTGAATGAAAGAAAACCAGGTGAGCTGTGTAGTCTTGCACTTGGCCATAATTATTGGCACTTCTGGGGTCCTGAGGCTTATGTCTTTCCTTATCGAGTTGGCTTTCCATTTTGGCCTTGGTTCTGAGTGACTGGCATCAGGGTGAGTTCTCTCCTTTTGGAGTTAAGAGTCAGTCCACTATGGTTGAACGTCTTCTTTTTCCCTCTGCAAGCCATCTGGGCCCTGAGTACTGATACCCAAAAGCGAAAGGCCTGCATCCAGCAAGAAGATGAGTGTGTTGGCTTTTCTTCCTTGTAAAACCCAGGGGATGATTTTGGCCTGCTTTCTGACAGTGCATTTTGCATGGAATATTGATTTTTCCCTCAGAAGTCAGGTGTGGGAGAAGACTCATTGGGTCAAGATTTATGTGTTCTGGCTCCTTAGGTCAGTCTGAGCATGCAGGCCTGAATTGTGGGGAGGAGATAGGTTGCTTTGCTGGTTGATTTCTCCTCAGTGAGCTGATACTCAGAGCCAACACTTGGGAGACCAGGAGCTGGTAGCCATGGTAGTTCAAAGTAAGCTTTGCATTTGAGTGGGGAGCTGACATCATCACTCTGGGATCCTTATGTGTATGCCTCCCTAAGGTACATCAAAGGATTTCACAGATACACTCTCATCTGATTCTCACCCATTGCCCATGTGGTTTGTCAAGCAAGGAAATTAAGGCGTAGAGGAGGTGACTGGCTTGCCCCAAATCATACCGTCTGTCAGAAGCAAAGCCAGAGAGTTGAAGCACATCTATGATCCTCATGTGTGAGAGCAGCTGGTGTGGGGCTGGCAAACAGTAGGCCCTCAATGGATGCTAGTTTCTTGCTTGATAATTCCAGAGTTCTTCCCACTCTGCCATATTGTACATGCTTTTGGAGTATATTTCCTTAGCTTTTTTGGGGTCTTTTTGAGACAGGGCCTCTATGCAGTTCAGGCTGGCCTTGAACTCACTTTGTAGCCCAAACGATCCTCCTGCCTCTGTCTCCCTGGGATTACAGGCGTGAACCACCATGCCCTGCTATTTCCTTAGCTTTTGCATTTCTTCTTTATGTATTCTACATGGGTAGTTTTATGTTGGTTCTGCATTGTCTCTTAAGTTCTTCTGGCATTGGATTTGACCTGTAACAGCATTTCATCTGTATCCATTGGACCAGCAATCCTTATTCTTAGAACCTGTCAGTCGTCAGAGACCTTGTTAAAGCTCAGAGAGGGGAATGTGACTTGTCTAGGTTTACACATGAGGTAATTATTGGGGCAGGATTAAAATTGAGACCACTTCACTTGATGGTCTGTGGGTCTTCAGTAAGTTGGAACTGAGGGTCGGGGGCCTATAGTCCCATGGAGGAGCAGGGCCAGAGACTTTAGTGTGACTGGCATGAGGAAGACCAGAGGCAGCACGTGGGAGAGTGTGACAGTTACTGAGTGTGGTATTCCCTGGCTTCCAAGAGGCATCCAGTGCCTCTAGAACCTGTGCTTCTTGCAGGACAGGGTAATAGAGCTGGAGTGGCTATGGGAAGCTTTGGCTGTGGTGAAAGTCGATCGATAACCTGTGCTTCTTCCTTAGGCCAGGGTTGTAGGTTAAGTGGTAGCAGTGTATTTTCTAAGGAAGCCTCTTTCAGGGGTGTTTTGAGAGATGGCATGTCTCAGTGAGTTTTTGTTTCTCTCAAAGGGAGAGTAATGTCAGGAGGGTTGGTGTCCTGTCCAAAGCAGGGGGCCACGTGGTGACTAGTGGTTAGTGATTTTTAGTTGCTGTTGCAGAGGAATTTGGGGGTAAGTGGAGGGGCTTGCCCCAGATCACACAGTTGTCACAAGCTGCTGTGTCATTGCAGAGAGTATCTCTCCTTTGTCTGTTGTAGATATATGAGAGTTGGATCAATTTTAATTTAAATACCAGATTCCACCCCCCTAAACCCCTGCATTTGAAAACTACTGTTCTGGCTTCTGTTAATGCTTCAGTAATACCATTGGATAGCGATCGTTGTCAGTGAGGTTGGCATTTATTCAGTCATAAGTGATGTACCTGAGTGCTGGGCCCAGCTTACAGCACCGTGAATGCACAGGGTAAATGAGGCAAAGTCTGCACCCCACAGGATATCACAGACAGTGGCATGGACGTGAGCTTTTAGCTGAGTAAGCTCGACCCAGAAGGCTCCAAGAGGAAGCAAGGAGGCAGCAGGGCCAATGGGGTGTTGGCGCCAGGCAGAATGCAGGGAGGACCCAGCCCAAAGCTTGAGCTGGCCGTGGGCTTAGCAGGAAGCCTCACGTCACAGCAACGAGGAAGTGGTGCTGAGCAAAAGTGCTGCAGGCCTGGGGCTGCAGAGCAGGTGCCATGAGAGCAGTACCTGTCTGCTCAGGAGTGCCTCGCCCCGGTCCATCTTTAGAAGGAAGGTAGGGTCCAAGTGTGTGCAGGGAAGCAAGTTTTTCTGGGCATCCCGGACAGCTCACTCAGTGAAGGTCTGGAAATGACCCTTGGAGGGGACAGCCCAGAGAGGATGTCGGCTGTCGTAGTGCGCGCAGTCTGCAGCAGTGGTGTATAACTTTGGTTACTTAGAGGTTGGGGGTGGGGCAGTGCCCTTTTTAAGGATCAAATTAAAGCTGTGGGCTTCTTCCACAAATAGGAACATGTGCTCAGCTACATTTGCATATACATAGTTGCAGGTCATTTATAAAATTGTAGGTTAAGGTCTCATAGCTTTGATGTTATTTCCACCAAATATTTCATCTTTACAAAATGAAATACAGAAAAGGCAGGAAAATGTATGTTATAAACTAATAAAAATGGAAAAAAAAAAACAGGAGTAAGATGTGGGAGCCCCTGGGGTCACTTTAATTCTCTTTCCAGAGACAGGCGTAAGACTTTCTTAGCAGTTGCTGCTGGGAGTTAGTGTCTGTATGTCTGTCTCTGTCTTGTTTTTTGAGACAGGGTCTTGTTGTGTACTTCAGGCTGGCCTTGAACTCACTATGTAACTCCAGAGTCTTGAACTCTTGCTGATCCTCCTGGCTCAGCTGCCCTGATGCTGGAATTACAGGCGCGTACCACCAGGGCTGGCTCTGAGCGGCCTGCCTGGATTTGGATCTTGGCTCCACGACTTCCTGTGGAGGTACTTTAGCTCAGTTGCTTAGATTCTGGGAACCATAGCCACCTCATCTGAGGAGATGTACTTAATCCTGGGTGCATTAGAGTGCCCACCGTGCAGTGGAACTCAGGCCTGTTAATTCTTGCCTTGAGAGGTCGATTGGTCCAGCTGTACTTAGGGGTAGTGGGGTCAGGGATTGGGCAGAAGGACCCCAGACAGGTAGATGCGTTTGACCGGCCAGATTTGCTGTGTGTTGCGGTCAGGGAGGAAGCAAGGCCGTTTGTGGAAGCAGCAGTCACGAGCTGCTGGGCTGAGCAGTGGCCTGAGTGTATTAGGCTGGTGGCCTGATGGCTGTCTGGCACTGACACAGTCAAGGATCATGGCTGACACTTGAGCCTAGCTGTGTGGACCTGTTTCCTGACCTGTAGAATAGCCTGGTGCTTTCAGGGCCTTTTTATAGCCCCCATGCTTTCAGTGGTTCTTTATAGTTCTATACTTCTTGTTTCAAGCTATTTGAAAACTGAAGCTCGAAGGGTTAAGGTGCAATACATACACATACTACCTCTCCACCGTGAATATATTCCTGTACTAATTTTTAAAAAAGAACAACAGAAAAGAAAGCTGAAGCTGTCGTGTGGTGTGGGGTTTTCTAGGGGCCATGTTTTGCATGCAGTTGGGGCCCAGTCTCACTTGGTTGTCCTTCCTCCTGCTCATTGCTTGTCTGGTATCTCCCTCTGGGCTACTCGGACAGCCCTTAGCACAGGGCCTGGAGATTTGGGAGCTGCTTGTCCTACATGAGGATGAAGGAAAAGGTGAAGGGGACAGGAAGACTCATTCTTGGTGTTTAGCTGGTTGAGGGGACAGGAAGTGGCCTTGAGAAGAGACCTAGACCCACTGAGTTTCTTTGTTTTGTTTTGTTTTTCCTTTCCGGTACTGGGGATCAAACTCACAGCTTTGCGCCTGACAGGCAGGCGTCATGCTGCTGAGCTGTATCCAGGCCCCGCACTGAGTTTCCTAAGCGTTGGGACTCAGGCAGGGTCTCATTGAAGAAGGATGGCGCAGGAGAGAGGGGCCTGCCAGCTTGCTTACCTGGTGCTTTTATTCCTGCAGGTGTGGGCAAGAGCAGTTTACTGTTACGATTTGCAGACAACACTTTCTCAGGTGAGTATTTCCTCGGTGTTTTTTTTTTTGTTTTTATTTTGGTACTGAGAATCAAAATCATGTTTGATGTGGGCCGCTGAGCTATAACCCTGGCCTTGGTGTTTCAGTTTTGAAATACTTTCTCCCAGCACTGGAAAACACTTGCTCCTCTCTATGTGGGGGACTTTCTCCTTTTGGCTGCCAGGAGAGGGAAAAAGAGGGTGAGCAGCTTAGGTCAGGATTCTTTGGTTAGCTTGGCATGGTGGTACACCCCTATAATTCCAGCTCTTGAGGAGGCTGAGGCAGGAGAATCCCAAGTTTGAGTGCAGTCTAGAGAACTTAGCAAGATCTTATCTCAAAAATGAAACAAGTGGGGCTGGGGATTTAGCTCAGCGGCATAAGCACCTGCCTTGCAAGCAGGCAGTTGTGAGTTAGATCCCCGGTACCAGAAAAAAGAAACAAGTGCTGGGAAGGTAGCTCAGTTGTAGAATGCTTGCCTAGCATTTGCAAGCTCCAGATCGTGCCTAATACCAGAGCTCATGTGTTCTGCCTTTCCGTCTTGTACAAAAACCTTTGTACCCATCATTTCCCCTTCCAGCGATGTTTTCGGTCCATCATTTAAAACAAAGTTTAAAAATATTACTAGACAGAATGTGCTTATATAAAATTTCCAACAGGAAGATGTCAGTAATGTGAAGAATGACAGCTGTCCCTGCTTCTGCCCTTCTGCCGCCCTGGGAGCCTCTGCTCAGTGTGGGGTGGACCTTTTGACTTTTTCTGATCCTGTCTGTTGTTTATAAACTTGTCTTTCTCTTAGTCTGTAGCCTGTGACGGCGAACCTTTTAGAGCTGTCAGTGATACAGACAGCCTGCTGATGCATTTGTGTCATAGGTTCGCCCCCACTGGAACTAGGACTGTGTATTTCTGTTGCTGTCTACAGCCCCCCTCTCTGCTTCTCTTTAGTGGTTGTAAAGCTTGCTGTGTTGTGCAGCTTGCTGTGGTGTGCATGGATGCACCATAATTCATTAACAATGCTTTTGTTATGTGCGGTAGTTTCTGTTTCAAGTGATGCTACATTACTGAGATACATTGTATGTCTGTTTTGGTACTTGCAGTTCCATAGGAGTGGGGTTACTGGGTCACAGGGTCTGTGCATTTGAAGTTTTCCAGTTCTGCTAACTTGTCTTTCAAAGAAGCCAAGGGAATTTAATTTATACTCCCACTGAAGGAGCTGAAAATGCCCCTTTTCTGAAAGAGAAACTGGGATAGAGGAATGGAGAAAAGAAAGAGAAAAGAAAAAAAATGTATATAAAAGATAGTTAAGAGGGGCTGGGGATTTAGCTCAGCGGCATAAGCACCTGCCTTGCAAGCAGGCGGTCGTGACTTTGATCCCTGGTACCAATAAAAAGGAAAAAGACAAAAATAAATAAATAAATAAATAAATAAATAAATAAAAAAGATAGTTACACTACTCACTTCTCTTAGTTCATTGAAAAGAAAGGTTTGTGCTAATATTGTTTGGACAGTTAAATGCTGATATCTTGTACTCTTGAGTAATTAAAGATAACAGCACACAACTGCTTTGAAATTTTTTTTTCCTCTTTAAAATAAAAAAAATGCCCCTTTTCCATTTTGATCATTGTTTCATTTTTGCTATAGGTAGAAAGTACTGTTTCGTTTTGATCTGTATTTTTGTGATCACTAGTGAAATTGAACATGTTCTTGTTTGTTGAATATTAAGGACTGAAGTGTGACTGGGTTTTCGTTTTTTTTTTTTTTTTTTTTTTTTTTTTTTTTTAGACAGATCTCACTATGTAATTCAGGCTGGCTGGCCTTGAACTCAAAGTGATCCTCCTGCCTCAGCCTCTTGAGTGGGCCACCACTCTTAGCCTTGAAGTGTGACTGTCTTGTGGGAAATTTCCTCTGATGTGTTTAAGGGGCAAGCTGTGCTCTGGAAGTGGTCACGTGGCTAATCTTCTCGTTGGTAGAGAAATGGATTTTGCACTTCCTCCCTCTGCAACAGCCCTGTAACACTGCTGGTGTTGGAGTGTTGGAAGAGTTGTCTTTTCTGTGACAGGAGATTGTGACTGAGCCTCAGCTCAGGTGTAAAGGAGGAATCGTCATTTGCTATGATTGTTGTAGGACCACCGGAGATGGCACATGTCACAGTGCCTGGAGCCCAGAGGTCACTTAATAAATACCAGTCTTTGCGGTTATCTTCTGTTCAAAAACGTTTACTGGGCAGCCTCTACTTAGGCTGGAAAACATCCTTCTTCCTCCTTAATGTTGGCCTAACTTCCTGTCTAATCAGCTTTTAAGTCCTAGGGGACTGTCTTGCTGTCTCTCCTGCCCATGTTTTCTAGAGTGTTTATCTCGCTGGGTTTAGCTGAAAGCATTATGGAAGTTCCTGCCCACGCTGTCCCCACCACCGAGTTCATCTTCGTCTGGCAGGGTCTTTCCTCTGTGCTGAGCCCTTGGTGGCCTTCTCTCACCTGAGCAGTTTATAGCAGGGTTCTCCTGCTTTAGCACTGTGACAGATGGACCCCTTACTCTGTGCTATAGGGCTGTCCCGTGTGTCGGGAGATGTTGCGCAGTGTCTCTGGGTGCTTACTAGATACTGACAACAGTGTCACAGACCAAAAACGTCTCCAGACTTTGCAAGTGTCTTCCGGGGAGCAGAGCCATCCTGGCTGGGTCACCACACCCAGATTGTGTCCGGCTTTCTTCCTCATACTGCCTGCTCATCTTCTCTTTTCTGTGTCTGTTTGCCCTTTGCTTGTCCATTGCTCATTCACTCAGCCGCCAGCCGTTTGCTGAGTGCTACCATCAGAGCTGCTGGCCTGCGCTCCTGGGCATGGTCCAGGGCAGGAGGAGCACAGGTGCTGGTTTGGTTTTGGATGCTTTCTGGCTGGGCTTTGGCCTCTGTGTGGGATGTCGTTTCCCCGCCTGATTTTGGCCTTTGATAATCTTAACCTATTCTTTTTATTTATTTTGGTCTTTTTGAGATAGGGTCTCAATATGCAGTTCAGCCTGCACTTGAGCTCTCTTTGTAGCCCAGGCTGGTCTCGAACTCGAAAGGATCCTCCTGCTTCAGCCTCCCAAGTGCTGGGATTACAGGCGAGAGCCACCACACCCAGCTATAATCTTACCTATTCTTTTAAACTAGGTGTACATGTAATTTCCTCTGCTACCCCAAACCTGCCTTGATCCCCACCCCACCTTGATTTTTCCTATGCACTTGTCACACTTTGCATAGTCTTTTGTGTCTTGTCTTCTTGGGGACATTGTGTGGTAAGCTTTGAATGGAGTAAGAACCTGTTTTTCCTAGTGGCCGGGCCTTTGTGAGCCTGGACTGGACTGTTGCCAGACTTTCTCCTCAAATCCATCTTTCACACAAGGGCCCCAAGAAACCCATTTAAAATGCAGCTCACACCACTGGTTAAAATCAGTGCATCCCTCTGACCCACAAGAGTCCAGGTTCTTGAAAATGACAGAGGCCTGGAGATCTGGCTTTGACCTCTTCTACCTGCTTCCTTCCTTGGGCTTGACCTCATGTGACCCTACATATTCTATTGCTATTTTGCTACTGTCTCCTCTGCCCAGAGCAGTGTTGTTTTTTTGTTTTTGTTTTTGTTTTTTTTGAGATAGGGTCTCACTTTGTGATTCAACCTGGCCAATGAATTTGTTATGTAGTTAAGGCTGGCCTTAAACTCAGGGCAGTCCTGCCACAGCCTCTTGAGTGCTGGGATTATAGACGTGCTACCACGTCTGGGTCCTAGAGCAGTGTTTTTGGTTTTTTTTTGGTCTTTTTGAGACTGTAGTTCAGGTTGGCCTTGAGCTCACTTTGTAGCCCAGGTTGTAGTCGAATTTGTAATGACCCTCCTGCCTCAGCCTCCTGAGTACTGGGATTATAGGTGTGTACTACCATGCCTGGCTAGAGCACTGTTTTTAAGACTACAGGTCTGGTCCAGATTGTGTGTTAAGAAGTCAGTTTTATGGGTCATTAGAAATTTTTTTAATAGAAAAGAAATCCAGGTATGACTCATTTTCAGGTCACAACTGACAGGTTCTCATCTTGGCCATTTTAGCAGAGCTTGTTCCTCTTCGCTGTCATATCTCTTGTTTTATTTCCTTTGTAGCCTTCATCACTCTGAAATTGTTACTGTTCCACTGTATCCGGTCTAACCTCCTTGGTGGTGGCAGTCTGCATCTTCCTTGGCTGGGTGGGGGTCTTCTGTGGGGAAGGGTTATGGAGGCTGCAGGTCTCCATGTGTGGTTGAGGATGTGGGTGGGGGGAGGGAGGTCTGACTGGCCCCCGCTGGCCTTGCTGACATGCCGCTGGTGTGCAGGCAGCTACATCACCACGATTGGAGTGGATTTCAAGATTCGGACTGTGGAGATCAACGGGGAGAAGGTGAAGCTGCAGATCTGGGACACAGCTGGGCAGGAGCGCTTCCGCACCATCACCTCCACGTGAGTCTGGCCCTGCCTCACTTCCACCGGACCTCAGGCCTTGTTGGCGTGAAGCTGAGTGACTGACTGTATTGGTCACAATGGAAGTGTCACTGGGTGGGTCTCCAAGGCTGTCAGGAAGTGAGCTGTTGCTGGCCTTAGTGGGAGGGTTGGTTGTGCCTTTCCTCTTCCTGAAAATGCGGGAGGAGGTGGTGATGCGTGGCATCTCCTGCTCTGGGTGGGCAGGCAGTGGTGGCTGAGCACCCTGCTCAGGTGTCTGGCGGGACATTGACCGAGTGCCTCTCCTTGGGCTCTCAGCTTTAGCCCACTCTTTAAAATGGCACTAGCAGTTATGTTTGCTTTACCAGATGTGATGCACCATGCCCAAGGCGGTCAGCTCCTCTTGGCGTGTGTGCGGGTTCCGTCACCCATCCTGACTCCGTGGTGGCCTGGGAGGAGCATGGTGTGCGGGTTGCCTTTCCTCTGCCTCCCCAGCCACTGATGTCTTTTGCTGCTGCGGCACCTTTGTGTGCTTAACAGGACCCTGCAGCAAACCCAGCTGTTGCTGAGTCCTTTGAGGGGCCCTTGGTGCTTAGGCTGTGAATGGATCAGGTTTCAGAAAGAGCATGGCTTGAAGGCAGATAGTTTGGGATTTAAATTTCTGTCTAGCCGTACAGCCTTAAGCAAGTTGCCTAAACCCTCTCTGTGCTTCTGGTTCCTGGAGGGTTTATTTATTTATTTATTTATTTGGTCTTTTGAGATGGGGTCTCACTATGCAGTTCAGGCTGCCTTGAGCTCACTTTGTACCCAGGCTGGTCTAGAACTTGCAATGATCCTCCTGCCTGAGCCTCCCACTCCACGCCCGGTCTGGAGGGTTTATCTTTAGGACTATTTATTTTGCTAGTAGTGATTGAACCCAGGGCCTCATGCATGCTGGGCTGAGCATTTTTTGTTTGTTTGTTTTGTTTTTAAGAAAGAGAGGTTTATTCGGCACACTCCCAACCTTTATCTTTAGAAGTTGTTTGAGACCTGACCTCTGTGTCTGGGTCCCCTGCTTCGGGCACTGAGGGCCTTGTCGGTCATCTTGGGGAGCTCTCCTATGGCTCTGTACTCAGTGCTGCTCTTAGTCCCATCTGACAGTTTGGGGCACTTCTGAGACATGTTCTGCTGCCTGTGATGGCAGAGCCTGGCTCCACACTGTGGTGCCTGCACAGATGTGGATACCTCCTTCGTCTCCCCCCGGAACAGTTCCTCTGAGGGAAAGAGGGAAGTTTCCCTCCAAACACTGCTGTCCTCCCTTCAGTGTGGAGGCAGAGTGGAGCTCAGGCTGTCCCCCTTAGCGTTCTTTGGACACTCTTGTGTTGGTGAGGAGTATGTGGGCAGGGCTACTGGCTGGGCAGGGAGGCAGGCCAGGCTGACATGCAAAGTATACTGCTGGGCAAGATGTCCTTCATTGTTAGCCTTGTGAGTCCAGGACTCCCTAAGGCCCTGGGGTTTGCAGACCTGGAGCTCCTGAGTGAGGGCTCTCAGGCCCTGGATGTCTTGGCACAGGCCGTGAAGGCTGGAGGAGAAGGTAGGGGTTCAAGGCCATTGCAGTAGGGCTGACACCTAGAGCTGTGGGCAGCCCAGAGCCCACAGGCCCAAGCAGGAGACCCTTGTAGGAGGCTGAGGCCATCAGGTCTGGACACAGATCCTACTCTTCCCTGTTGTACTTGTCCTGTCTGTCACTAAGGGCATCATGTAACTTTGGAAGAATCTTAGGACGATCTGTATTTCATGACTGAGAAGTTAGGCGCAGACAGGATGAAATAGTAACAGCTACTTAGGTCTGAACTGAGGTCCCTCTGTTGCGGAGCTCAGGCCTCTGCCCAGGCTGGTATTGCTCCCAAGCACACCATGCACGGGGGGCAAGGATGGATGACCTCCTTCCTGGGAGTCAAAGCCAGCCCAGGGGGTCTAAGATGGCAGACAATGACCTGTGGCCGTGGAAATGCTTGGAGCAGGGTACAGGTACTGGAGTCTGGGGTGTCTGCCCAGTCATCCTGTTGCCAGGAAGTCACCTTCTTTCGGGATGAGTGGGTGGGGATAGGGAGCTGCTCCTTCGTTCTGTGGGGGACAATTGGAGTTACTCAGTGGTCTGGAGGTAATATATGCTTTTTCAGGGGTGTATGAAAAGTAGGGTGATCTGTCTGGTGAGGCCTGTGGGCACTGCTCAGCACCTACTGCTAGCCTGCCTCTCTGAAGAGGATGAATAGTTTGGATCCTCATGGAGTAAGAGGTGCCACAGGGCCCAAGGGGCCACAGAAAGACTGGACACCCCGTGATGGTATAGGAGCACGGCCTTTTCTGACTCAGGTTGTTGAAAGAGAGATGAGGACCTCATCCCTTTAGCCGCTGAGAGAGCCCATCATTTCCCGCCTGGGTGTTCTCGCGCTCTCCGTGAGCAGCTGAGGTTTGCTGGCCCTGAGAGGTGAGCTGGGGAAGGAGGCAGGGTGCAGGGAAGAAGGAGGGGAATAAGGAAGGGCCGGCACCGGCACTGTAGCAGTCACTCCACTGTCTGACCTCACAATGTCCTGACTGGCGGCGAAACGGCGATCCTGATACCTGTTAGACCAAGTTGGTGGATTAATAAGGTAGCCTGGGCAGAGGCCTGAGCTCCGCAACAGAGGGACCTCAGTTCAGACCTAAGTAGCTGTTACTATTTCATCCTGTCTGCGCCTAACTTCTCAGTCATGAAATACAGATCGTCCTAAGATTCTTCCAAAGTTACATGATGCCCTTAGTGACAGACAGGACAAGTACAACAGGGAAGAGTAGGATCTGTGTCCAGACCTGATGGCCTCAGCCTCCTACAAGGGTCTCCTGCTTGGGCCTCTGGGCTCTGGGCTGCCCACAGCTCTAGGTGTCAGCCCTACCGCAATGGCCTTGGCGCTGTGCGTGGCGTAAAGCAAAGTTGTGGTGGACAGAAGTGCTTCCTGCTGGGAATGGGAATCTCAGAAGCACTCGTACCCTCCTCGCCAGAGCTGTGACCTTGTCTTCAGACCAGAGCTCTTGGGGCCAGGGATTTAGCTCAGTGGTGAGGTCCTGAGTTTGGTGCCTGGTCGTCCCGTCCTGTCCCGTCCCCCCGCACCCCGTGGATTATAGCTCTGCTCTCAGAGGCAGCCCCTTCTCCGGGACCCAGAGCAGGCAAAGGTTCCCAGAGAGCAGCAGCGGCTTTGTGTCACTGTGGCTGGAGGCATTTCCTGGCACTTTTAATCATTTTCACCAAAGGAGGTGCAGAGGCATTCTGCTGCTTGCATTTCCTTTGCTGGCAGGGGACAGTCGTCTGTCCTTGTGCTCCTGGCTCTTACCACATACTCCTGCACCTGCCCTGGACGTGTCCACCAGGCTGCTCAGCATGCAGAGCTGGCTCTCTGGACAGCAGCTGCTGGTGGGCCAGGGCCTGGGCTGGGCCTGTTCTGGTGCCCAGAGCTGAGACAGTGGGCTTGTTAGGGTCTCCCAAAGCCAGGCAGCTCCGCCGCCCTGGAGCACAGCTGTGGGGAGAGGGGCAGCTGGGAGAGCTCTGTGGCATGTGAGGGGTACGGATGAGGGGCAGATTGCACGGGAGCCCTGAACCTGGCAGTGGCTTCTCCTGCCCCTTTCACTGCAGCCGCAAGGGTGGCCCCGCTAAGTTGCTTCTTGGTTTCCTGATACCTCTGTGACCCCAGGTGGACACAGAAGGGACATTAATAGTGATAATAGAGGGTCCCACGTCTGCTGTACAACTTCCCAGCCCTCACAGTGGCTAGGGTTCTTGTATTCCTCATGACCGCTCCAGCAGTTCCGTGATTGTGACCCTGTCGTGTAGTGGAGGAACTGAAATGTGGCAAGGTGAAAGCAGTGATTCAGAGACAGAGCCAGCCAGGGTTGATCTTTGTCCTCAGATCAGCCATGATTGTGCAGAGTTGGCACAGAGCTGGCAGGCAGGTGAAGACCAAGCTGGACCCGTTAGCCCGGCCGCTGCATCTCGGCTCGACCCGAGGTGCCCTGAGCTTGCCGCAGGATGGGGCGCAGGGAGGAGCTGCTTTCCACGTGCGCTGCAGGAGTGGGCTCAGGGCTGGTCAAGTGTTGGCTGGAAGGTTGGGAGGAAGGAGCTGTCCCCCTTGGTTGTATCCTGGGCATAATAGGAAGCCCCCACTGATTGAGTCTCTTCGGGGCAAAGGCTCAGAGGCATGGCACAGGGTCACATGGTGTCAGGGGCGGGGGTGCTGCCTGACCCTGGCTCTGTGAAAGGTGTCAGGGATGCATGAGGCCCTCATCCTCCCATTCCTCCTGTGGTTGGTGTCCTTCATCTGTTCCCTGAGGATCCGGCTAGGTGGGATGTCCAGACAGGAGCTCTGGGTAGCAGGTTTTCCGGGAGGACTGTTGGACATTTTCCCTCCTTGCTGTCCCGTCTGCTCCTGGTTGCACGTGTGGGAGGTGGCATAGGAGGGTCCTACCTCTAGGTGAGCTGGAGCCTCTCCGCTCTCCCTGTCACTGACGCGGATGAACTGAGAGTAGCAGGAAGTGGAGTGCCACCTGCCCCAGGGAGGGGGAAGATGCAGACTGCCAGGGCTTCACTAGCAGGGCGGCAGCTTGGGGTGGCATATTACCGAGTCAGACTTGGAGAGAAGTGTTTTTGGATGTTTAAACAAGGATAGTGATACAATGTCAAATACAAAAATTACCTGAATTCTAAAAATAAAACGAGTTTCCAGTTGGTGGCAGACTCCGTATCACCTAGGATGACACCTCAGATCTGCTCTGCTGCCTCGCAGTGCACCCTGCTCCTCTGCTTGTGCGCAGGGGACAGGCGTGAGGCGCTGGTACTGAACATCTGCCCCCGTCTTCCCCGGCCTGCTGTCCTGCTGTGGGTTAGGAGGGGCTGCTCTCGTCTGGGCTAAAGCTTGCCGCCTGCCCCTACAGGTACTACCGTGGGACCCATGGGGTTATTGTGGTGTACGACGTTACCAGTGCAGAGTCCTTTGTCAACGTCAAGCGGTGGCTTCACGAAATCAACCAGAACTGTGATGATGTGTGCCGAATACTAGGTGAGGCTGGGCCCCGAGGGCGGGCAGTGGGATGGGGACCGAGGGGCCAGCTGACTGTGTTCTGCCTTGAAGTGGGCAATAAGAATGATGACCCTGAGCGGAAGGTGGTGGAGACAGAAGATGCCTATAAATTTGCCGGGCAGATGGGGATCCAGCTGTTTGAGACCAGTGCCAAGGAGAACGTCAACGTGGAAGAGGTGAGCCCAGGGCAGAGCCAGGTACCCACCTGCATGCTTCCTTCCGGCAGGACCCATATGCTTCTGGGAGGCTGCCGCTGGCCCCGTCTCACCACCTCAGCCCTCAGCTGACTCCCAGCTGCCTGGACCTCACAGAAAATATCATAGTGACCAGCTAAGTACCTGCTGTGTGCCAGGCCTTATAGGTCTTAGCTTGTGTATCAATAGTCCTCTGAAGTAGGCATTCCCTCCCTTGTTTTGATAGGGAACTAAGGTCCTCAGTGTTTAATAATTTCAGGAGTATCACTCAACTAGTAAGTGGCTGAGTCAGCTTCGCTCTGTCCTAGCCCAAAACCAGGCATGGTTTTTATTCCAGCCCTCGCCTCCTTGGCCCTGCCCTCGTCCCACTGCTGTCATCTCCTGCTTTCCTTTGGCCTCCTGAGCTCAGGGTGGGCCTGCTGTGAGCTCCCAAAACGCTTCTGGAGATGCCCAGCCTCTTAGCCTGGCCAAGACTCTGGCCCAGGGCTGCTTCTCTTGGCTTCCACTGTGCCTGCTGGAAAGCACTTGTGATCCAGTGCGAGAAAAGCCAGAACTTTTGCCACGGTCAGCCTGGCCCCACTTGCCTTTGGGAAGTCCTGCCTTCCCATGTGCAGTCCAGAGTCCACTGTATCAGGGGACACAGTGGGGACAGTGGTGGGAATGCAGGGTTCTCTGGATTCACTTTCTCTTGGCTTCATTGGTTCATCTGTGGATTTGGAGGAGTCAGAGTCGCTGCCTTCCAAGTTTCAAGGACAAGATGAATTAAATCTAGTGCTTGGCACCACGTACATGCTTAGGACCTGTTGGCCCTGCTTTTTTATGTCTTGGCTCCCCCACTGTGGCTGTGGATGCTGTCACTTGCTTGTCTAGGAGTAGGGGATTGTGGATCAGTAGATGGAGCCTTACTAGGTGCTGGGAGAGGTTCTCAGTATGTCTGGACTCCAGGTGTAGTGAGATGGCATGGGATGGGCGGGCTGTGGCCCACTCCTGCCTGCCCAAAGAGCAAGACGGCTTTATCCATCTTGTCAGAAGATTCCATCTGAAGAAAGGGGTTCTTCCTCTCTACTAAAAAAAGACTGGAAAATCCCTGAGAAATTGACTTCCCTAAGTCACACAGCTCCTGGGTCTGGTCTTTAATGTTGTTCCCTTTTGACCTTTAATTTACAACCTCCCCCTAGAAGGGGTTTTGGGGATAAACACACAAAACAGCTTCCAAGTGGAAACGGCTGGGCCCCCAGCCGGGGAGGTGGGCATGCTGGCCACCTGCTAAGTCTGAGGCAGCTCTGCCCATGTCATCTTTCCAGATGTTCAACTGCATCACAGAGCTGGTTCTGCGAGCAAAGAAAGACAACTTGGCGAAACAGCAGCAGCAGCAACAGAATGACGTGGTGAAGCTCACGAAGAACAGTAAACGAAAGAAACGCTGCTGTTAATGTCCCAGTCCACTGCAGAGACTGCACTGTGGTCCCTCCCCCAGCCCGAGGCCCGCGGTGGCTCCTCGGGGGACAGTCTCAGTTTTGTGCCGTTATTTAAAGAATTCTCTCCATGTTTTTGTATTGGGAGGCGCCATCGGCACTTCCTCCCCCACCCCCCCAGTGCCAAGAAGCTGTTGGAGGAGCCTGCCCTTCCCCACTGGTGCCCTCCTTCCTGCCGAGGCGCCTGGACCTGGTGAGGATGCTGCCAGCGGAGCGGACTGATTAACCAGTTTGTACATAGTGTATATTGCTTTAACCAGCCGCACACCCTCGTCCTGCTCTGGCTTTTGCCTCCTTAATACCAGCCTGCTGCAACAGACCCTCCCCTGGCCCTCCGATCCCACCTCATGGCCAGCAGCTTCTGGAGGAGACCCGGCGTCAGTCTCGTGCATCTTGGGCTGGCCTGGGACAGTAGTGTGGGCTCCGTGTTGCTCCTTCTTTCCTGCAGGCTGTCAGCTTCAGTCCCTGGCATACAGGGTCTGACTCCTCTCCAGGGCCTGTGCCCATTTTCCTGCCCCCACAGTTGCTCTGGGAACTGGGGAAACCTGGCCTTGAGGCAGTCGTGGTCCTCTGCTGGCCCCAGGCCTTCGGTCTCACAGAGGAAGTATCCAAGCCTTTGGCCAACAGGTTTCTTGTCCCGCCTCCTGGACACCTCTGCTACAAACCCAGGGGAGCCGTGGCTTCTAACTTACCAACGTGTTTCAGTTCCAACAGAAAGGTAGGGGTGTGTTCGTGCAGAGATGGGGCTTGCCAGAGGCTAGAGGAGCGTTATCTTCATGGGTAAAAAAAATGAAGCCAAATCAAATGAATTAAGTTCCTCACCACTATTTTCTTGCCCTGAGATTTGATCGGCACAGCAGCGAAGTTGTGGCCACCCCATTTTGGGTCCACTATTTTTAGAAAAAGTGAATTGCTTCCTATTAACTGTGGGGCTGGGCCCTTGGCCCTTGGAACAGGAAGGGGATTTGCACCCTTGTCCGGGTTGGCCCTCCAGGGTCTCCCACTGGAATTCAAGTCCGGTGTGCACTCTGCACCTCTGAATGTAAGGGTGGGTGCCGGGGTTGCTGGACAGTGGCGACACCTCTGAGCTTGGATCATTGACAGAACTGTTTCAGTTTGAATGTAGTAGGAAGACTTCTTGGTGGGGATAAGTGGCAGTGGGGCTGGGGTTCAGCCCAGGTCTGTGCACTCCAGCCCCTTGGAGGAGAAACCAGGGTCACCTGCATTTGATTACTGTCCCCCCTCCTTCCTTGGAGTACTTTATTTCCATTTTCCCTAAGAGGATCACGTAACCTGGGAAGAAATTTCAACACCATGATGTGTTCTATTAGATTTCCTTTCCTGGGTGATTTCCAGGCAGAGTCCTGATTGGACAATCACATGACAGATCACACTGCAGATTTTCCATGTTGACACTGTGGATGGGTTTTTAATCAATAAAAATGGGGTTTCTTCTTGCCTGTCTTTCTACTCGTCCAGACTGTTAGAGCCAGGGTTCTAAGCGAGGTGTTCTCTTTGGAGCTGCTGGGTTTGGGGAGCTATGGGCCCAAGGAGGCATGTTCCCTGCAGGTGCTGTAGGCAGCCTGGCTCACCAGGGCCTGCAAGGTTGCACACAGCTCAGGGCTCCTGCGGTCCTAGGGTCGAACTTGTCTCTGAGCTCAGGTGAAGCCAATGTGGGAGGTGCTTGCACATCCAAGCAATAGGGGCACTATCCTGGGAACTTCGGCCCAGGCCAGAGCCTCAGTGACTTTTGGCACCTGGATGTCCAGGCCCAGGCTGGGGGGTGGTGGTGGTGAGGACAGAGTGTCTGTCCTGCTGAGTGTTATACGCATGAATGGGGCGGGTGGGGGATTGGGGAGGGGCTTGGGTAGACCGACATCCTGGTGGACCTGATGTGAAATTCCTGTCAAACAACTTTTAAATGGTTTGCTAGGATTATTTCTGTATTGAAAGTTTCTAATTATGCTTTTTTTAAAAAATACTAAAAATAAAGGTTCAAGCTGCCAAATTTCTTTCAGGGTCTGTTTGCTCTCCCTCCAGCTGTACGAGTGGACCTGGCTTTTTCTTACCTGCTGTGTTTAGCTCTCATTTTTGCCCTAAGTCTTACACAGGTGCCACTTGGGGCCCTGGGACGCCCTCAGAGGTCACTGTCTTTTTGAGTGGCTGGCTCAGGTCCTGTGTGTGCTCCGGACTGGTGCACTGGCTAGGAACTCTGTGGGATGGGAAGATGCCAGGAGAAGCTCCATGTCATTCTCTGCAGCCAGGAGGACACAGTGGAAACTTTGGCCTCAAGGGATTTCTTCCTAGCTGAAAGTTTCTGCCAAGATTCAGCCCTTAGCCAGGGATTTAGCTCAGTGGTATAAGCGCCTGCCTGGCAAGCACAAGGTTGTGAATTCGATTCCTGGTACCAAAAAAGAAAAAAAAAAAATTCAGGCCTTGCACTCAGCCTGTGAAGTTGGGCTGGCAGCAGTCTGGGCCAGATGGGCAGGGTACAAAGCAGGATGCTGCCGCCCCTCAGGACAGGAAGCCCTTTCCTGGCCCAATTCTTTGGGTACCAGAGTAGGAGGGGGCCTCCCAAGTGAGGGCCCACTATCCCCACTTCATCAGCTGCCAGTGCTGCTCTGACAGGCCAGCTGCCTCTGGACTAAGCAACCCCACATACCCAATCACTGAGGCAGGGAGCTCTGTAGAAATTCATTTTATTCTTATTCAGACTATTTTCAAAAGAAGCAGTGGTGCGCTGTTTTTCTAAAAATATGCCTTTATAGATTTATATATGTATATTATAAAATCCATACATGTATTTACATGATTGCTACATACAAAATTACAGCACTGTGATATGTACACATCTATAGGTACATTCTTTCTGCTCATCCCTGCTGTGCTTATCCCCCGTGAGGGAGGCTGAGTCAGTGGTAAGCAGCTGCGGGCTGGCTGGGCCCGCAGAGCCTCTGAGCTGGGGCCTCAGCAGAGATGTGGGGTGGCTGCTGCAGGAGCAGCGGGAGCAGCAGGCTGCAGGCCGTGTCCCCCTGCAGGCCTGGCGGGCAGTATCCAGGGGCTCCCAGCAGCCTCCCCCCATCCACCCTGTGGTGCCAACCCTGCCTTTGTGGTGGCACTTTGAGGCCATTATTTGACCTGCATTTGCTAGGCTGGACCAAGAAATTGTATCAGTGGGGAGGGGGGCGTGGGAGGAAAATGAGCCCCATCCCATGCCTGGCCCCGTGAAGGGGCGAGGCCCAGCCAGCCAAAGCCTGTAGAGTACCAGCAAGAACCCTGGGCCAGGCCTTGCGAAGGATAAAGGCTGCTCTTGGGAAGGCTGGGGAGGAGTGGTGGCAGGCAGAGGATGGGGCCCTCCTTCCTCCCTGGGGTTCAGGACGCCCTCAGTGGAGCTTGGAGACACTAGCTCTTAGGCCCCACGGCCCCAGGCTGGGCCTCCTGCCCACTGAGGGTCCAGCAGAGGTGCATGCACTGGGTGAGGGGCTGTTCCTCCCCTTAACTTGGCCAGTGGCTGGAAAGGAGTGGAGGCTTAGGCCTGGGCCTGCTGCCCTGCAGGGTGAGGTCCCTGGGCCCAGGCCTCCTGAGGCATGCAGAGGAGGCCTCCATTTCTTCTGTCCCATGTTCTAAAACAGGAGGCAGCAGTGCCTGAGGGGTGGGCTGTGGTCAGCAACAGAGAGGCCACTCTGGCAGGCGGCCTGAGCCCTGCATAATGACAGGATCCTGGGGAAACCTAGGCTGAGGCTTGGCTGGGCAGTGGGGACAGGGTTCCTACCTGTCCCTCTGTTGAGACCAGTTTTCAGAGGTCAAGGTGGGCCCCTACCTTCCGGTCTCCAAGTGTACTGCCCAAAAGGATCAAGTGCTCCTGGACTGACTGCCCTAGTGTGGGTGGGCAGTGTGGTGCCCAGCCCGGGCCACAGGGGAGGCCCTCATATGGCCTTTGCAGCTGCCTCCAGTGTCCACCCGTCCTCTGGGCCCGGCTCCTCCCAACTTAAATTTTCCTGAAGAATGAGAAGAGCCATTTGCCTTCCGTGGTGCTGGGCTCAGCCCCCCGCCCCACGCTGTGGGCCCTGGAGAAGGCAGCAGCAGCAGGCAGGCTCCGTTCCTTCAGGTGCGTGTCCATCAGCTGCCGGTCAATGACCCTGTGCATGTCATCCTGCGGAAGAGACAGGCAGGGCTGAGCGGCCACTCTCGCCTGGCCTGGGGTGGGCAGGGGGTGGTAAATGTCACAAGGATGAGAGATGAGGGTGAGCGATGAGATGAGAGTGGCTGGAGGCGCCTGCCCGAGAAAGCAGTGTGGGTGCAGTGCTAGGGTGTGCTCAGGAGCTGTGGGGCACCCAGGTCTCCTCAGGGCTTTAGCTGGCTTCTCTCGGCCAGAATCCCCCCTCACTGCCGCTCAGATGGGTCCCTAAGGTCCAGCCCTACACTAGCACTCAGCCCTGCCTATGACCAGCTGCCCTTCCTGCCTCTTGGCCACTTGTCTGCGTGCCTTTGGCCTAGTTGGCCACCTCCACCCCAGAAGGCCCAAGATGACCTCAGCTTGCCAGCTCTCCAGCATCATGGAGTAGCCTCAGGGGGCTCCTGTCCCTTTCTGCTCCTTCACATTATTTCCAGCCTGAGTGGCTGATGCCCAAGGCAGCCCCATGGGGCAAGAAACAGGCTCCCTGGGCTCTGGCTGTGGCAAAGGCCGTGGGCATCACCATCTTCAGAGGCACTCTTAGAGGATCAATGCAGACACTGTCTAGTGGCTTCTACATATATATATATATTTTTTTTGGTACCGGGGATCAAACTCATGACCGAAGCAGGCGCTTATGCCACTGAACTAAATCCTCAGCCCCCCGTATTTGTTGAATGCCTGGAAAATGCACCCCCAGCCTGTCTTTTAGAACAGCAGCTTTTACTTCACAGGCTGGCTTCTGAACAAATAGATCGACACTAGTGGGCTGACTCTGGTTCTGGTTCTGTGGAAGATTCCTTTTGACAGAGAAGCTCTCCGTGAACAAAGTTTGGACAGTACTGGCTCAGCAGCCTGAGCAATCAGCAGGCATGGTGGCAGGCTCTGGGGTGCTCAGCTGGGATGGCTGGTGGAGAGCCTGAGCTTCTCGACAAACCCCGGAGGGAATCTGCAGTGGGTGTCTTAGCATGGGACAGGTGAGCCCGGTTCCAGTGGCAGAGCCCTGCAGCTGGGCTCCAGTGGCCACTCAGACATGTGGCAGGAGTGTGGGATGGCTGCACTCCTCTTGCTGACCAGCTTGTCCACCACCACCTCTCATGCAGGCTCCAAAGGCTTTGCAGATTTCAGGATAAAATCAGAGGACTTCTTGCCTTGTCACCAGCCGGTCAGGGTGGTGCACCTGGGCTTCACCCACCCGTGCTCATGCCCTGCATCTCCGCCTTCCCCTTCCGTCCCCGCCCTCCATCACTCAGCCTCCTGCCCAGCACCTTTCCTCTCCGCCTGCACTGCAGATCGGACTCGGATTCATGGCCCCGACCTCTGAGGTGCCAGTGTAGCATCCCGTGCACAGTGCCCTGTTCTTAGGACATGCTCACTGAAATCTGTGCTGTGAAACCCAACAGGAGCGTGGGAAGGGTCCCTCAGGAAACAGCCTTTCAAAGCTGCCAATGTTTTCTTCTGGCATGTTATAAACTTCACTTTTATACTTTGAGCAATCAATTATTCGAGGTACTTACATTTAGAACGTCACATACATATGCTGCTCAAAATTCTATGCCTATTACTTCTGTGGGCAAAACTGTCCATTTATGCACAAGTAGCACCAAGAAACCAGGGTCAGCCTGTCAGAGATGGGTCAGTCTGTCAGTACTTGGCCACCTGCTGCTGAGCTCGTGGGGACGGTGGTGACAGGAGGAGGAAGGCCAGGGCTAGATGACAGGTTACACTGCACAGAGATGATGACAGACTCTGGCACACAGAACACGGTGGGCCACGAGGCGAGGTGGCGGAGCAGGCTGATGGCAGAGGGGAGAGGGTGGGTAGGGTGCAGGGCTCAGTCTCACCTCAAAGGCAGGAGGGGTGTACAACTAAAGCTGTTGGTACGGGAACTGAGAAAGGCCACTAGATCAGAAACCAAAGGAGCCAGATAGTAAAAAGCCCTGAGGAAGCAAACTGCAGCCAGGAGAGAAGAGAGAGAAGTGGTGGTAAGCAGCGGAAGGCCACTGGCTGCAGGGCAGGAGACCCGGCCCCAGTGAGCAGGACTGGTGGCCACGGCTCCAGGGGCCAGCCCCAGGGGCCCCCGAGGGCACGGTCCCTCCACAGTGGGGCTCACCTCATGGAGCTGCAGGCGGCTTCTCACCTGCCTGGCTAGGATTTCTTAGGGAGACACATTAATGGCTACACCCACATTCTGACACAGTGTGACTTCAAACTCATCAACAAAAGCCAGTCACAGCCCCTTCTAGTAGAGCCACACTGAGCCCTGAGAAGGACATATTTCCCCAGGGCCTGCACCAGGGCAGTACTCAGTGGGAAAAGGAAGCTGCAGGCCTTTAAGAGGGGAGGCAGCGGCGCTCTAGGGTTGCTGCACAGCCTCCAATCACCCGGGCCTCCAGCCCTCCGTGCTAACAGGCGTGTCTCCAGTCTAAATCTCGCTCTGATGACCAGCTGAGGAGCGCCCCACTCCAAGTGTGGGTCTGTCATCTCAAGAGCACTTAAAGCACTCTTCCCCAGGGACACAGGGTACAGGGCCTGGATTTCTGTAGGTGGAAAGTGCAGTTACTGTTCACCCACGACACAGGGCCCTCTAGTAGCAAGCTCATACTTTCTAGGTTAAGACTCCTGGAGTCTCTTCTGGGCCTGGGCCTCAGGGCTCTTGTTTACCTGCCAAGCTTCAAGCTGCTGTGAGAGGTTCAGTTTCTGCTGAATGGCATCCAGCAGCTGGCTGTTCAGAGACATCATGTCCATCTTGCACTTGGCGAGTTCCAGCTCCACAGCGTTCTTCCTGAAAGCAGACAAGCCACAGTTAGCACAGACATCCTGTGCCACAGGCCACTGCAGAGAAGCTCTTCTCTGCTTGGGGAGGCTCAAGCCCACAGGCGAAGCACACAAGCTCTTACCCCAAACTAACAACAAACAGTAACCAAAAACCATGCTGCTGGCACAAGGTTAGAGGCAACCAGCTTTCACATTCATCCCCTCGACCACACAATAATGACTGTCATCCCCACCTCCAACATGGAGAGAAGAGGGTTCAAAGTGTTAGAAGAGGACCACTGATGAGGCCTGGATCCCAGAGGGGGCCAAAGACCTTATACAGCACAAAGGGGCTACACATCCTTCCCACACAAGGAGGCGTCAACTAGAGGGTGGGGACTTACCCTCCTGGGATGTGAAAAGGTTGCTTTTGATTAGCTACTCCAGAGGCAGGAGGACTGCTCCAAGTTCAAGGCCAGCCTAAGCTACGCAGTGAACTTAAGGCCAGCCCAACCTACACAGTCCTATCTCGAAACAAAACAAAACAAAACAAAACTAAGCTTGCTACTCCTAGTACCCGACAACTGAGGAATTGGTCAAAATATGATGGACTACAGGTCCCAGCAGGAGCCATGATGTAAGTATTTACCGACAGTTCAGGACATATGATTGCTTGGTAGAGAAAAAAACCAGAAAACAAGATATAGCTGGGCATGTTGGCCCATGCTTGTAATCCCAGCACTTGGGAGGCTGGGGCAGGAGGATCACTGCAAGTCTGAGGCCAACCTGAATTACAATGGTAAGACCCTCTCCCTCCCTCTCACTCTCACACAGACACACACACACACACACACACAAAATCAAAACCAAGGTGTAGTTTTGTAAAATAAAAACTGCCCAAGGCATACAAAGATACTTGTCTGTAACTTGTCTGTAGTTCCTGCTATTTAGGAGGCTGAGAAGTAAGGTAGTCGCCAACCCGAGCCATTTAACGAGACCCTGTCTCAAAACAAAAATGGATGTAGCTCAGTGGCAAAACCACCCTGGATTCAATTCTCAGTATTGTAAACAAAAGCCAAAAAAACCTTCCTCTAAAATCACTGCTGACTGAAAGGATTTTGCCTTAGATAGGACACTATAGCAGTGAGAGGCTGGACCAAGGGAAGCTTACCTTGAGGTCATTTACCCAGCCCCTAGGCAATTTACCTGGGGTGCAACGAATTCCAATGGGCTGCTTGGGCGTCAGTGATACGCCTTAAGCACCACCCCAGACCAAGGCTATATGTATGCCCCCCAGCACCATGTGCCCAGCAGAGAAAGCCAGACACCCCCCCCCCATGGAGTTTCTCTCCACATCCTTAAAATATAGGCCACTTTACTTTATTCTGTCTTCTAACTGCACCAAAAATCCTATCAGTGACTAAGTCTCCTCATGTAATTTTGTATTTTGTGATTTCATATTTTCCATGTTTTACAGCTCAATTCCACTAACTTTTTTTTTTCTTTTTTCTTTTTTCCCGGTACCAGGGATCGAACTCATGACTGTACACTTTGCAAGGCAGGTGCTTATGCCGCTGAGCTAAATCCCCAGCCCTTTACAGCTCAATTCATCCACCTTCTTCAACATTTTTGCTTTCAAGGCTGGCCTTGAACTTGCTATGTATCCCAGGCTGGCCACACACTCCTGCAAGCTGGGATTACAGGCATGTGCCACCATGCCTGGCTTCCTTGACATTTGTAAATCATAGCTGTCAAATACAGAAGAATATAATCTGGGGAGGGGCAGGAATAAAGGGGGCAGGGAATAACTGGCGGCACTGGTTGCCCAAGCGTGCGTCACTTAGGCCTTTCCACCTCAGCCACTCCCTTGAGTGAGTGAAGTGGTAAAGGTAAGAAAGTGTCCTGGTCGCACACAGCAAAGACCTCTGTACGCAAAGCAAGAGCAGCTAAAGGACAGGATACTGTTCAAGAGAATAGAAACTGTGCTGGGGAAAAAGGGAAAAAGGAAACAAACAGATTCATACACAAGACACTTACGAGTAGACAGCTAGTTTTTGCTAGTTCATTGTAAAGGTTTGTGCTAATACTGTTAGGACATCGTGCCTGTATCTCGTTCACTGAAGACAACACCACACAAGTGTATTCATTCCTGTAACTCTCCTATTAACCTGTTTTGAAACTATTCTTTTTCCTTCTTTCCCTTTACAATTAAGAAAAAGGACTGGACGCAGAGGCCGCCGGCCCAGGCCTCAGAACACTGCAATAATCGAAGTGCAGGTGGGAGGGGGAGCGAAGGGTTCCCTCAGCAGAGCGCTCTGGCCCCGGGGAGCAGCCAGCGTCACACCAAGGCCTCCCCCTCGGACAGGCACTGAGTCGGCGGTACATGTCAGCCCCGCCCGCCGCGGCTAGGCCCCAAGTGCCTGTCCCAATGGGCGCTGGCCCAGAAGCCGCAGCCGCCTCCATCACGCCCGCAGCCGAGGCTGGTGGCGCACAGCGGAAATCCTCCGGGCAGCGGTTGCCATGGACGCCGCCTCACAGCCCTAGAGTGTCAGCACCAGCCCAGTCCCACAGCGGCAGCTGCAGCCTCCAGAGCTTCCGGCGTCCACCATCAGATGGGGCAGGAACGGCCCGGGGCTCGGGAATGTGCTGACTAACGCTGCCCTGCCGGAGGGACAGGGGCCAGCAGTGGCGGCTTGCTGGGGTCTCCCTCTTTCCTGACCACCGTTTCCACCGCGCCCGCCGAGGACTCTCAGCGCCCAGTGGCCCTGTGAGCTGCACCTTCCCCACCCAGCTAGCCCTGACCAGAGTCTCGGAGGTCACCGCCCTCGTTCAGGAGCTCGCTGGCGGCTTCCTTCCAGAGAGGAGAGTGCGCACAGCTGACCAGACTTCAGGCCATGAACCGGCAGGCAAGGGGATGCAGTACACAGCCAAGACGCGTGCAGATTTGGTCGCCTTCCTCTTCCAGGCGGCTAGCGTCCTTTTTTTTTTTTTAATGGAAAGGACTAGGAATTGAATCCAGGGCTTTCCACAGAACTACACCCCTACCTTGTTTTTTTTTTTTTTTTTAATCCCTACTTTGTTTTTTGAGACAGAATCTTCAAAGTTGCTCAGGTTAGGCTCAAATTTGTGATCTTTCTGCTTCAGCCTCCCAGAGTGCTGGAATTATAGTTCTGTGCCACCAGTTTCTACTTTTTCTTAAGGAAAGCAATCTGAACAATTTACATTACAGTCAAGTGTACCCCGACACCCGACTGTAGGGGTACACTTGACTGTATCATCTTTCATAATGAAAGACAGAGAATAGGGACACCACTCCCCTCTTACTGGGGATTGAAACCAGAGCCTTTACTCTGAGCACACTCCCTCCCTTTATTTTTAATTTTAAGACAGGGTTTTGAGGGGCTGGGCATTTAGCTCAGCGGCATCAGCACCTGCCTTGCAAGCAGGCAGTCGTGAGATCCCAGTACTGATAAAAAGGAAAAAGACCAAAAAAAAAAAAGACATAGTTTTGCTTAGTTACTAAGTTTTCCAGCTGGGCTTCAATTTAAGATCCTTCTGCCTCAGCCTGCCAGAGGGATGGATTACAGGCTATGCCATCATGCTCAGTTTGGTCAGATCTTAATGTTTAGCTTTTCTGCTAAAACACACCTGTACCTTTATTTTTTTTATTTTTTGGCGGTACTGGGGATTGAACTCACGACCTTGTGCTTGCCAGGCAGGCACTTGTGCCGCTGAGCTAAATCCCCAGCCCGACTCCTGTACTTTTAACTTTAACCAGCTTTTCATTCCCAACGTGCTTCCACAATTAGCGCCTTACCTTTACTGTTTTATTCCTTAATTTTATCATACAATTCACCCTCTGCTATTTGTAAAATACTCCCTTCTTCTATTACACTGCTCTTCAAGTGTCCACTAACTAGCTGTCCTGGGCATGCCAGGGGAAGACACACATGGATAGGTATGTGAGCTTCACCAGGGACACTGTAATTCTCAAAACCAACTACAACTGACAGCAGGCTATGAGGTTTTGAGCAGACAGAGATGGGGACCCAAAGGTAAACTGAGAAATGGAGACAGTGAGAATGATTAAAGAGACTCCTGCTAGTCATGGTGGAGTACACGCCTTTAATTCTAGGTGGGAAAAAAAAAAAATACTAGAAGGAAGGGGAAAGGAAGTATGCGTAAGTGAGCAAGAAGGCTGGAATACAAAGAATTTTAGTGTCAGAAGTTGAGATGTGTGTCATCATGTTTTTAGTACTGGTTTCAAGGAATAATTTCATTATGTCAGTGATTAAAAACCACACACAGCTACATTACATATACACCTGTATGTCAGCACGGGAAAAGGGACTGCCAAAAATGCAGACCGACTTTCCAACAGCGATGTCCGCTAGGGGAGAAGGGGTGGGGAGTGAGGGCGGGCAGCTCGGAAATCAACCTTCACCTTTACATTCTCCTGTATGATTTAATTTCTAAAACGAGGCATATACTCAGTTTCACTCAAAAAAATAAGCTGGGTCCACTCACTTTGCAATGGCCTCGTCCCGGTCCCTGATGGCCTTCTGCAGCTGCTCCTTTGGTTCTTTGTCTTCAGATGTCACTCTGAGTCGATCCCTTTCCTCCTTTAGTGCAGTCATCTCAACACTCAGCAGTGTCACCTAACCAAAGAACAAAGGTGGTGATACTATTACTGCGGGCCTGGGTGATCTCCCTTCCCAGAGGTAAAAAAGGAACCCAAGAACCTTAAATTCTTGTGCGGGAACCTTAAGAACTCTTGCAGGAATGGAGAGGTAGCACCCCACTGCAGTGCGCCCTGTGGGGGGCCCTTCTCTGCTGAAGACAGATGCCATGTGCTAGGCTCCAGCTCCAGGGGAAGGGGTCCGAGGGAGCTTTGGCCCTTGACCTGTGGCCATGGCTGGATCCCTTTGTACTCCTACAATATCACGCTACCTGTCATAGTAAGGCACACCCAGGTAGACAATGCAGGGTGTCCTTCAGGGCCCTGAAGAATTTTAGGGTGTAGCGTTTCATTTGTTTTTTTCTCAGCCATCTTCTACATGGAACACTGCTCTCATCAGGCTCTAGATGGCTCCAAAGCCAGGCACCTGGCTTGCACCTCCAGCAGTACATTTCTCAGATGAATTCTTTTATTCTTTCTTATTTGGGTCCCCCCAAATCAAAACCACAGGAACTTATACACCTACATGATGTCATTACCTCTCACAGCAAAGCTGGCATCTTTTCTGTGGTTCTCTGCTTCAGTAAATGGTACCATGGCCGCCCTAGTCCTGATGCTGATCGGAAGTCTCAGTTCAGTGGTGAGCTGTGCTTCTAAGGTTCTATCACTGACAACGGTTTAACCCTGCTCCACAGTACAGTAGCTCTGTGTGCCCCATGACCACGTGTGTTATCATATCTTTCTGTGCATCCCAGCCTAACTGCGGATGGTGCTTAACCTCCAAACTTATTCTGCTAGTTTTGGGATACTTACCATCCAAACCTAGTGTTCTCTGGGGGCCACTCCTGGGTGTACGGAAGACAAGGCACAAGCTCCTTCTAAGGAAGCCAAAGCAGGGCAGGCATTCCCTTTCCTTTACAACCTGGGGACAATATGTGACCTACATTTGGCAATACCCCTGCCCCGCCCCGGGGTTCCCAGCTCTGAAGGGCATACGGCTAAGTTACAGGCTGGTGGGCCTCTCTACCAAGCAGCACGCTGGCTTTGCTGTGCCCTTGTCATGGCTCCTTCCTATTTGGGAGCTGAGTTTTCTCACCTTCCTTCCTGTTTATTCTGTATGCTACCAGATTTCTAATCCATTCACTTTCTGCTTAAGTTATGCAGACCAAATTTCTATTGTATGCAACCAGAAACTCCACCCAGGTAGAGCTTTCAGTAAATACCCATTAAGCAATGGAAGGGTGGGCGTCCTTTCTGTCTAGGTTGATAGTATCAGGCATGAGTTGGGATGCTGACCCGGCCTCTTGTTAAATATTACACTCTTGACAATTTTTCCAACGGAGGAGCCATCTACTCAGATCTGCTGCCCCCTACTGCAAGGGGGCTAACAGCACCCTTCAGTATACCCCTCAATACCCAAGTCTAATCTTCAGATAGAATGAAAGTGAGCAGAGGCCTTGGGTTTAAGGATGAAGATCAAGCTCTCCAGACTGAGAGCAGAGCTGCCAGCCAGGGGAGCAGCCACTTTTGAGCAGCTCTGAGGACACCCAACAACAGCCAAAAATAGAAGGTCAATTCACTGGCAAATGAGGTAGCAGGTGAGGCACAAACCACCGGTCATTAGCAGGCTTTGCACTAGAACTCAAGACAGAAAGCACTGGCAGACAGAGCCACCTCCTCAGAGTAAATGAGCCCTGACATGGCCTCTGGCCAGCTAGTATCTCTGTTAGCCAAGCAAGGGACAGATAAAACTACATATTGAGCAGGAAAGGCCAACATTTAACATGATTCAAGAATTTAAACCATGAGTTAGAGCCCACTAGCCACATGCCTTAGGGAAAGCGGTAAGGGGCTTTGTCTTCTCTGAGCCATACATATTTTCCCTAAAAATCCCTGCCATGAAGCTGCTGAGTGGGCTTTGTCTTCTCTGAGCCATACATATTTTCCCTAAAAATCCCGGCCATGAAGCTGCTGAGTGGGTCAAATGGCATAAATAACATCATGTGCCCCTCAGGGTCTAATGCAGGGCCAGGCACACAGTAGTTGCACAGCAGAGGCCCAACCAGCCCTATATGAAGGGCGCTGTGCCTACTGGGCAGCTGCTACTTCCACATGCATTCTCCAGAATGACCTTGACCTGTTCCTGCCTGCTGCCCTGGGGCGGCAGGGTGACTTCCACAAGGCAGTTCTGGTGGCTGTGATGGCAGAGAGGCTTGCTGCTTTGTGCACTCAGGATGAGATGACTCATGGGAACACATGCATTTCCCTTCACTGGGCTGAAGGTGGGCTTGCTCACCTGGCTGTGGAGGCGCTGCAGCTCTTCTAGGCTTTGCCTCAGTTTACCCCTCTCTCCCTCCATAAGCTCCCTCAGGGCTCTTGAGTCCTCACTGGTCTGCCTTATTTGTTCTTCTAAGGAGTCATCCTCAATTCTCCGGGAGCTCTGACAGCAGAGTCAGACAGAGATGCAAAACAGAGGAACAGGGAAGAGTAAAAGATAAAGGTGAGTGGGGGGAGCATTGGAAGGCAATAGGGGAGGAGAAGGGAGAGATGGTGGGGGCGGGGAGACAGACAAAAGGAGAAAAGGAAGAAGAAATAAAACAAAGGGAGGAAGGAAGGGCATAGGGAGAGGTTCTCAAGCTCAATTTCAACCTGCAGCTGTAGCTTGCAGTTCCTTTTGTGGTTGTTCCCACCTCTGGGCACATGGCCCTGGATCGTGCCCTTCTCCCATAGTGACACCCGCCCCCTGCATTACAGCAAGTTCACCAAACCAGGACAGCATAGTTAAAAACAACTGCGCTTCATCTTATTTCATCCCATGAGGGGAGGTACAGGCAACTACTCTACAGCAGAATCAAACCCAGAAAGAAATTATTGCTTGTGAGTTGGGTATGTGAATGGGAAGTAGGTGAGGGAGAAATCTGCCATGAAGAGGGAAGAAATTCCAGTCTGCCCAGACCACCACAGGAGCACGTGCCTTCCCACAGGAAGCCACCGCTGGAAACTATCAGGGGCTTCACCTTGGTCTTCTCTCAACTTCTGTGATCACTGATGTTTTTTTCCCTCCCGCGCCCCCTCCCCGCCACCACTTACGTTCTGTAGGCAGAAGCTTTAGGTCCTTTAGGATTGCCTACTCATAGCTTACCCCTCCACCAGGAACAAAAAAAAGGCAATTTGCAGTGTTTTGCCAGATACATATTTCTCTACTTAGCTTCCAAGGAATGTCCTTGAATGTGAGGCCAACAGTGTCCATTTTTAATCACATAGAGAAAAGGACTGTGCTTGTACCTTGGTGTGCGCAGAAGTGACCTTGGAACCTATGTTCCTAGCATTTGGACTCTCTTCCTAATCACCAGTGTTTAGGGTTCTGAAATATATTGAGAGCTCAAAAGAACTTTTGGCAGACACATGACAAGGTTCCAGTTCTGAGGTTAACTTTCCCTGCTCCACTAGGTTTCAGCCTCCTACTAGCCAGGTGCAGTGGATCAGGCCCTTCTTCAGTGGCTGCTTACCGTGGGCTCCATGCCATCCACAATGCTCTGTATCAGTCTCTTGAGCTCACTGAGGGCAGTGCGCAAGCTACCAGCCGGGACATCCTTGGCGGATGAGGTTTCTGAAGACTCGTCCATGGAGGAGTCTGTGGACACTGCGGAGTCGGCACTGTCGCTTCCTCGGAGGTGTGCGCACAGATAGCGAACCTGGCAGTAGGCTTCCCAGAGCTGCAGTCTCAGCTGGGTCACAAAGAATTCTTCTTGATTATGGGTTTCATGGAACACCCGGCCATCTTTATCTAGTATATGAATCCAAAGTAGACCCAAAACACCAGTGGTAGGAAAAAGAGTTTTTGTTTTTTAAAGTCAACTGTCCTGAGAAGTAATACTACTTATTTTGGGACCAGTACATCTAGCTAGATTCTCAATTCTTATTTGCCCTGCTTTCCAGGGCTTTTTTTTTGAATAGTGGGAAAGATTTATTGAGATACAAGATAAGATACACACAAGTGCTCAAAGGAATGAAGTACATACAACTGGAAGCTGGAGAATGGGAAACAGGAATAGCTCCTGAGAGACAGGAGGGGTCCCAAGTGGGCTGCCCTCCAGAGCCTTCTATTTGCTATAGAAAGTCTTTCTTTATTACGGGATGTTTCTTTCACTGGAGTCAGGAAATTATTAGAGGAATGAAGTATGAAAAGCATAAATCAAAACCAATGAGATGGTAAGGAGGATCATGCATGTCCCAAACTCTGGCAAAGCATAAGGACTCAGACTGCTGGTCCACAGACATGTCCTCAGAGCACAGGGCATGAGAGAAGGACAAGGCTCTCTGCCTGTTGTGGACTCACCACTCTATTTGGGTCTCAGTGGGCAAGGAGCAAAGGCCATGGAGAGCTAGGGACAGCTTTGATCAGGGTCTGCCTTGTATGGCTCCAGGCTGCAGGCTGAGCTCAGGCTCAGGCAGACACAGAGCCACTAGGCGGCAGTGGAGTGCTGGGGAGGACAAGGGGCCCTGCACACTGTGAGGCCACTTGCTCTGACAGGTGCCAGGGAGGTCAGCACCTGCTCTCGCTCTTGCTCCAGCTCCTCGGCCTCCATGCTCTGCTCTATCTCTGACAGGAGGGACGTGCTGGTGGCGGCAGAGCTCTGCAGACTCCTCTCCTCAGTGAGCTCTTCCACTTTGCCCTGCAGCTGCCGGTAGGAGAGCCGCACCTCCTGGAGCTCCAGCTGGCTCTGGTGTAGCTTTCAGGGAGAGAGAACAAACTCAAGTGAGGTTCATCCGAGCCACACCAGCCAGTGGCGCCCAGATCCTGCCCCTGCCCGTATACCTGCACCCACAGAAAAGCAGGAGAGAGAACCATGTCAGACTGTATCCACATCTGGGAAGTTCAAGACAAGAAACTCTATTTTTTCACTTTTTTTTTCTTTTTTCTTTTTTTTATCGGTACCAGAGATCAAACTCATGACCACCTGCTTGCAAGGCAGGTGCTTATGCCGCTGAGCTAAATCCCCATCCTCGAAACTCTATTTTTTCAATAAATAAATTTCAAGAAACAATGATAAAAGTAGAACCTAGAGATTAAAAAAGACTCAAGAGACCTATCAACTACAATGTGTGGATCTATTTTTCTTTGTATCTTGAGTGAAACAAAAATATTTTAAAAATTGATGACATAAGACAACTGAAAATTTGAACACTCACAGTTTTTGATGGTGTTAAGGACATACTGTTAATTGTTTAGGTATAATATTATGGTTATATTAAAATTTTTTTCCTCTAGAGAAAGTTAAAATTTTTATTACATGTTACTACATAACACTTTTCACCATTGCTTTTGATTTAATTTAGTGAAAAGAGCAATGTCAAAGGATAAAATTGTAACAATTTAGTTCAAAGGTTTTCATTGGTTTATTCTGAATTTTAGAATCAGGTAACACCTCATTCCATAAGACAGAGTAAGAGTTTCCTAAAGGTATTTAATTTACAGATAAACTTATAAAATTTTGAGACATACTTTTTAAGTAATAGAAGACAAGAGGGATGTTCCCAAGATTAGGCAGGTCTATGTGAAATCCTCCATCATGAAAAATTAGCACCCCTTCCCAAGTAAGATACAATTATGGCTAAGATAAATAAAAATTCTAAAGATGATAACATCATGTGTTAATGAAGATATGCTTGGCTTAAAGTGCTGGGCAGTTTCTAGTAGTTAAACAAACTCCTATCCTGTGGCCCAGTAACTCTACCCTAATGCGTACTTCCCTTGCCCTCAAGTGAAATGAAAATGAAACACACTGGATTTTATAGCCACAAATAGGAAAGAATATAAACAGTAAGAAAACCATAGATCATGACACAACTATATACTGCAATTCCATACAGCAATAAAAAGAATGCTGGCACTACTCACAACATCACTGACTTTCACATATACCATGTTGAGTAAAACTTTATCTCAAAAAATAACGGGCTGGACAGTGGCAGTGATCCTAGACATGTGTGCCTCAGTGGGCTATCTGTATCACTGAAAGCTCTGAAAGGTTTGCTATCATTGTGCCAGAAGCGTGCAAGGAAACAGCTGACAAGGGCACCAAAGGCTCAAATGAACCATGATTCAGAAGGGCTTGAAGTTGGCTACTGAGAGAACGAACATGGCCTCCTCTGAGGGCCTCCCATTGGTCAGCAGTATCTGTGATCCAGTGGGAATTCCTTCCGTCCCAGTTTTGAGTAAAACCAGAAAAAACAAAAAATCAGGGTTATAGGGCCTTCCTAGGAAGCATTTGGCACAATTACAAGTGGCATGTTAAACTGGCAAAATGCTTTACAATTATTTTCTAGACAATTCCACATATATCGCAGCAGGAGAAGTTCCTCATTGGTAAGTACAAGTTCTTATGTATTAGACAAAATTAGTTCAATTATTCATGCACACTCAAAAAGGTGCTTAATTAGTTATAACAGCAAGAGAACAAAAGATCAGGAGGGGCTCACTTTCTGGTCACTGCCTGATTCACCACCTGAATAGACATATGCAGAAAAATCAAACCAGGGAAGAGTCCATTCACTATATAAACTCTCTTCAAGAAATTTCATCCTTTGTACAACACAGATGACACCAGGTATGCGGGATAACACTTGACTGTGTTTGTATAGTAGATGAAGTTTAAACTCACAACATTCAGCTGAGCAAAAGTGGGAGCACTTTCCTCATCTGACAGCTGAGAAGCAGACAAGGTGTAAATGATGTGAATTACGTAAGCCATTGGTGTTGGGGCAGACTAGACCCCAGGTCACCAGCTTCCTGGATCATCTCACAGTGAGTGAGCCTGTGCTCTGCTAATCAAATCTGACCAGTTGCCATGAAAAATGCACAGATGGATGTAGTACAAGCCTGTAATCCTAGCTACTTGGAAGGCAGAGGCAGGAGGATCACAAGTTTGAAGTTTATGCTGGGCAGTTTAGCAAGACTGTTTCAAAATAGAAATAAAAAGGGCTGAGGATGCAGCTCAGCAGTAAAGCATTTGCCTAATGTGTGCAAGGCCTTGGGTTTAAACCTCAGTTCTTCGAAAGAAAAAAAATGATGCCCATCTGGGTATGAAATAGGGCAGCAAAGCAGCCCACAGAGGGATAATATTACTTTCCTTTACTGAGCATTAAGAGTTGAGTAAAATGCTTGATATAAACTAGATGGTCAATAAGTAATTTTTAATCCCTATTATGAAGCCTGAAAAAAGGTCAAAGATTTGATCAGTAGTTTAAAAATCTGTTTTGATGGCAGGTCCCATAGTGATACAGATTAAAAGAGGGCTCCCCCAGTGGCAGCAGGCCTGTTGCCTTATGTGCTCTGTCTCCCCCTAACCCCTTGCTGGAGAGTTTAAAATTATGGGACTAAACACATTCCAAGGAGCTGGGGGTATAGCTCAGTGGCAGAACACTTGCACACTATTCTGGAGGCCCTGCTTCCATCCTCAGCAGTGGAAAGGAAGGAAGGGAGGGAGGAAAATACATCTACACATGAATATATACATTCATACATCCAAGGCCACTGGCTTGGTATTTTACAACTCTGGTTTAGGACTTCTCCATGATACCCTGAAAAGCTGGAATTATTTCCATGTCAGCATAGGCCATTTCAGCAACAGAGAGGGCAGCGCTTCCTGGAAAGCACTGGTTAACTACTGGCAACTTATGGAGAGTTTTGTGTGCACAAAAGAAACAATCACAGTTAGGAAAGATGAGAATTCAGCCCATAAGTACAGATCTTCCAAACTGTGGGAACCGCTGGACTGGCTACAAATACTCAGCTAAGTGATACCCTCCCACTCCTGTAGTCCAGCTGGAAGACAGTGGACGTGCAGAGGGTGAGGACATGAATGGGGTATGACCTAGGATTTTCACAGATATAAACACATAGTCCCCTGTCTAAGTTAGTACCCTGTGGTCCACACTGGTCCTGGCTATTTCCCACCATCTATAGATACTCAATTATGGATTTGTGAATTTATGCTAGACTCAAAGTATGTGAAAGCACTCTATCCTCCTGTGCAGAGGCGTACAAATGTGCACTGCTATTATCATCAATCTGGAAAAGCAAGCAAACTCCATTTTGAAAACTGCTGTGAGACTTTAGTCAATACCAAATACCGTTGTTTGTCCTCTCTCTTTCTCTCCTTCCCTCCCTTCTTTTTTTCCAGTATTGGAGATTGAACTCAGGACCTTTGCAGTGAGCTACATCCCTAGGCCTTTTAAAAGGTTTTGAGACTGGTTCTCACTAAACTGTTCAGGCTGGGGTTGAACTTGTAATCCTCTTGTCTCAGCTTCTCAGAATGCTGGGATTATAGTCATGTACTACAATACCTGGGTAAACTCCTTCCTCCTGTGCTGGAGATTGTGCCCTAGGCTCCACGAATGCTAGACCAGTTCTGCACCACTGAGCTATGCCTGAGCCCTATTTTTTATGCAACACTTGCAGAGGTCCTACTATCTTTCCAGCTGGAGAGCAAAAACAGGAGCAAAAGCTGCTATCTGTTCCTCAGAGGGGGACAATACTCAGTTGGCAATTTAGCTGATGGTGTCAGTGACAGGTGATAGTAGCCTAAGACATTGTTTCCTCATCTCATATTCCAGGGCTTCCCTATGAGCCTGGTAGTGCCCTCTGTAGCCTAGTCTTGAGGTAGTGACCCTCCTGGCACCTGAGTGTTACCTAGTCAACTACTCCTGCCTAAATGACATTGTGGCAGTTCAGTACACTTCCTGTCATGCCCAAAAGAGAACCAGAACATCCTTAGCTTCTAGTTCCAAGTCTTCCCAGCAAGACCTGGTAGAAGATGCTGCACCCTATTTCTGGCGAGGCTGAGTAATATCTTTTTGTTTAAGGGTTTGTTTCATGTCAAGTGTAAGCCTAGAAATTCAGCCTGAAGCATAGTGGCAGCTCCTCAAAAAGGACATATATGTCTATGAAGCAGCTTCCTTTAGGGAGGTAAAAAGACTAATTAGGCTCAAAAAGGGCTCAGATTGTGTCTTTCCTGGCTCTTGGCAAAGGCAGGATACGTCCTGCTGTGTTCAGCAGGGAGTGTCTTGGTTTCTATTTTATGCCAGCCACTAAACTCCTTCACTTAGGAAAGCAGCAGCAGCAGAAAGCGCTGTGAGCTGAGGACAGAGAGACCCAGGCTCCCTTTGAAAGCTAGCAGACTTTACAAATTGCCAGGCGGCCAGAATGACACTCCAAGTGTTCCAGTCATGTTAATAGCCCAGAAAAAGCTGTGTGAAACTTTTCAGGGACCAGTGGATCAGAACACACGTGAGGAACGATATGTTTTGCTGGCTATGGGAAAAACAGCGCATGCCTGGGAGAATCCTAACAGGTCCATAGTGAGACCTTCGCATTACCCACTTCTGACCAACCCCAGCGGCTGGTTCCCCTTTCCTGGCTAAGTGCTCTTACTGTCTGGCCCTCATCCTGCAGAACAGCATCTCTCTCCAGTACCTGTAGGTCTTTGTCATGGCCTTGCCTCTCTAGGATCAGCACTCGGTCCTGCAGCTCCTCCACAGTTCCTTGTAGCAGGTCATTTTCTTCTAAGGTGGCACTGAGGCGATGCTCCAGCTCTCGTTTCCGATCCGACAGCATCTTGATCTGAAAGGCCACAGGTTGGTGTGAAGGTTGGTATGAAGTTACACCTGGCTGATGGGAAGGAAGAGGGCTAGGCTCCAAAGGGAGGCACATGTCTCCAGTGCTGTGCCCAGGGACTCAGGGGCTCCAATTTCAGAAAGAACAGTTGTGCAATCTTGGGCTGAAGAGAAAGCCCTTCGTTCTAGGAAGTTGTCTGGAAAGGGGTGGGAGTCAACCGTGGGGAAGCTGGAATGTAGTCTGGCCAGGCAGAGGAAGGGATGCTTAGTATTTTGGAAATTCCAAGACAAGACAGAAAAGGCCCTCTGTTTTACCCCAGCCCCAGTGTTGGCTGAGGGTAGAACCTGGCCTGCTATGACTCTTCCTTCTCCAGAGTAAGTGGACTTTTAGGCCCTCTTCTCTCCCCACAGCTGGCCCTTTTGGTGCTAGAGGTCACAGCTCTGATCTAGGGCTCCAAGTTAATGGAGAAACGAGCAAGGTACAGAGGGCAAAGCAGTGCCTGCATCCATCTGTGCTGTGGGAAGAAGTGGGACAGGGACCTTGTGAATAACTGACTACTCAGAGCAACTTTTCCTGAGTAAGCAGCTTGTGAACAAAAGCAAATTCTCTCCTTCTATGAAACTTGTCCGCACAATGAGTGTATACCTAATCACTCTCAAGATATATGCATCCCCTTGTTGGAAGGTCTATCTGCTCTCTTCAGCATCAGAAAATGGAGGAGATGCCTAGTCTTCTCAGGCTTTCAAGTTTGTTGGGAGAAACTGAGCCAGGGCTCCCAAAGCCAACAATGTTTCGCCTAGAGCCCTGCTCTGCCCAGGGTCTCCAGAAAGCCTTCCCAAGTGGCAATGGATTTTGGGGGTAACTTTCGGGGCCCTGCAGGTCCCCTAACTCCATTTCCAGTTTCCTGCTGAACTGATTATTGGTCCCACAGCATGGTTGGTCAAGATGTTCTTTAGGCTCTCTAGTCAGCCCAGAGAATGATGCTTCCTTATCTGGGTAAGTTCTGGGGACCAACTTCAGAGCTTTTTTAGGGGAGACTTTGAAATGAATGTTTAATCTGTTCCAGGTCCTCTGAGAGACACCTCTCTCTGTTCCTTGATTGTTCCCACTCTCTGCACTAGTGCTCCACTCACAGGGCACAGATCTTCCTTGGCTACTGACCAATCAGATAGGATGATGTCCTGGGGAAATGAAGTATGTGGCCTTTGGCCAGAGAGATCAGATGTCTGGACAAACAAAGAAATCCTGTCTCTCAAGTGTGTACCTGTGTGAGAGACCAAAAGCAGTAAGTTCCTTTTCTGAATGGACTCACTATTCTCTACGCTGAAGCACAGTTAACCAGGTGAAGGGAATTCTCACTCCAGTTCATTTTCATTTAAATACCCTCTGACTTTTAAATTCTCTTTCCCATGGATCATCTTTGTTTCTCAAGTTTCCCTCAGTGAAGTAATGAGGTAACATGATTCTGATATACAAACAATCCTTATAAACTTAGAATTCAGAGTTACATGAAGTAATTTAGTTGAAAGGAGTAATTTCAGAGCTTGGCCTTTGAAAGTAGAGCTGTTACTGGGTGAAGTGAGGAATTAGTATTAGGTTGTCAACTCTTACTCTGCCTTCTACACCCTGAAACTTGTGAGCAAATCTGGCAATAAACTTTCCTGGGAATGACTTGTTCATGAGGGTCTAGAAAATATGAACAGGCACGGGAAAGAGAAGTCAGGCAACTTGACAGAGTCAGAGCCTGGTAGAGGCAGCTGAGTAACAAATCATGCACACAGATGGGCACAGACAGGGCATGCCAAACCTACCGGAACAAATCTACTTACTTCAAGAACCTGCTGCTCAATATCAGTAGGAATTCCAAGGGGAAAGAGGATGGAAGGAAGTGCGGAGGGAGAAGAAGAGAGAAGATATTGACAGACTTTAGGAAAAACATGTCCAATGACTTACAAAGCAGGAAAGCAGCTGTGGGGCTTCCCTAGCTTGACCACGTGGCTGAGTCCTGAGCCACATGAAGGGGCTCCTTTGTCTGTCCCTAGACTGTCTCTCAATATCTGACTTAGCCAAGGAGGATGAGGGCCCTTAGGACAGCCTTAGGTATAAGCTAATGGTTCAGCTGGTGGCATGTTCCTTGTCTCACTCCCCACATGACTGGATGCTTACAGTGCTGTTCCCCAGGTAGCTCGGGGCCACAGACTCTGGCTGCCATGTTCTGCACTTGTGTCGCAGGGACCAGACCAAATACTCTCCATGTCTTAACTCACCAAATCCTCACAAAAGTCCTATGAAGTAGCCATGTCTACCGGCCTTATCTTATAGGTGAGAATAATAACATCCATTAGTGCAGCCTGAACTGGACCGAAGAGGAACGGAGAAAGGAAAATGCCCTTTCCCAACTTTTACATGTGGTTGGCAAGCATGTTTTTGTAAGAGCCAACATATTCGGTAAAATATAAGTCATTCATGATTTCAAGACCTTCGGCACTAACTCTGAGTACTTTTATTTTTCCAGGAACCCAATGTTACTATCAACAGGCTACAATCACATGTTCCTCATTTAGTTTCTCACATAAATGTCTCTCTGGCAGTTTTAGTCCCTTTTATATATAGCAAGTTTTCATCTCATGGCTCAGAGAGCTCCATATTCAAAGATGCAGTGAGGAACCTCCAAGAAAACAAAGTGCTTTGTCTCCCGACACTGCCGCACAGCCAGGCTCACCTCAGCCTGAAGGCTCTCCAGCCGGACAATGTGCTGCTTGGTTGATGAGTTTTTCTCCCGAAAGTCTTCTCTGAGGGCGTGGACCTGCATGGACAGTTGTCTCTCAACTTCTGATGCCTGCAACAGAAGAAATCTTCACAGTTACTTTAGGGGTGCACAAAGAGTGCCTGTTAAGATATTTGCCTTTCATTTCTCAAGTACCCCTTTGTACTTGCATTCCATAAAGAGTTTAGGATGAGATACAGGTTTCCTATGGTCTATTTGTTCTCCAGAGCCAAAACGGGAAATATCCCATCCCACTGACCGGTGGAAAGGGATCCAGGAAACACACCTAGTAAGCTCTCTCAAATGTTAGCTATCATCTCTTCTTGTTTGTTTTGAGACAGGGTCTCATTACGTAGTTCATGCTGTCCTGAACTCACTAAGTATCCTAGGCTGGTCTCAAGACTCACTGCCGTCCTCCTGTCTTCAGTCTCCAAATGCTGGGATTACAGATATGCACATCATGCCCACCTAGTTATCATCATTATTATTGTGCATACAGCAGAAGCTCTGAAACTATTTATTAAATTGAGAGAATGTCTCAGCATTTTATATGGAGGACTATGACAGAGATACCTCCTGCCATAGTAATTTCTTTACTTCCCCATCAATTTCCTAGTAAGCTGGGCTCGAGAAAATCATCTCTATCTGTATTTCTCACTTCCACTCAACATGGGCATTACTTTAAATTCCCAGTAATGTAAGTTAAGATCTTGGCCATTTGTTCTTTAAGGACATTTCTGTAACACATAAAGTTTGCGTGGGAGCCCTGTTCAGTGTTCCGTTCCCACCCACCCCACTTAGTCATCCTTGTCACAGGGAAGCCCTCTGAAGGAAGGCTTACTAGAGCTCATTTGAACTCCAGCTTCTCCCTGAGGGCCCAGCACAGCCTACTGCAGAGAAGCCTGCATGTTACCCTGCAGAGAGACCTAGAGAGTTAAGGAACTGCCTTAGTGAACTTTTTGGAGGCAGCATGTGGTCAGTAAGCTTTACAGTAGGTTTGGAAGAGATCAGCACGTACTAGAATGATTAGGAACAGCTTTTGGAGGAAGTGGGATGGCGATAATGTTGAAATGGTTGGCCAGCTATTCAATGAGGTTCTCTCACGGTTACAGCTTCAGTAGTTCTTTTTATCTTCAAGTACTTTAAAAATGCTTTTCTATTTTTGGTTTTTGGTTCCAAAGATTCAACAAATGTTCTCTTTGTAGGCAGTTATATATGTTTTAAACTACAGCTTTACTTTTAAAATAGTGACAAAACACAAAACTAAATCAAATCAACTTTTACATTCCAAAAAATATCAGACAACATTAGCTTTTTTAGATTTCTCAGTGAAAAACGCATTAGCCAGTCACTCTTGCCTAAAAGCCATTGGTAATATTTACGGAGTGCTTACTATGTGCCAAGAACTGTGCTAAATACCTTCAATGCATTATCTCAGCTTCACCTCCAACTTACTGATGCAGGGATACAGCCAGCAAAGCGCAGCACCTGCCTGAGAACTCGTCAGCAACAGCACCAGGATGGCGAGCTCTGAGCTTCTTACCCTCAGCTTAGGACTTTCCTCTTGAACTCTGAAATAGTTCTTCCTATTTCAATTTCTCACTACTGAAACCAAACTTTACATAAATCCAAGTTAGCAGACACCCTTGCCCCCTTGGAAGTACTGGGGCTTGGATTCAGGGCCTCTGCACTGAGCTACATTCTTTTTTCATATCTTATTTTCAGACAGAATTTCCCTAAGTCACTAAATTTCCCAGGCTGGGCTCAATTTTGTGACCCTCCTTTTCTCCCTTGAAATGCTGGAATTACAAGTATGCACCAAAACTCCCAGCTTCTTTTTAAATAATAAGGAATTTCGGGGGCTGGGGATTTAGCTCAGCGGCTTAAGCACCTGCCTTACAAGTGTGAGGTCATGAGTTCAATCCCTGGTACCGATAAAAATGAAAAAGACAAAAAAAAAAAAAAAAAAAAAAAAAAAAAAAGAAAAGAAAAGAAAAAGTAATTCCATTTTGGATGCTTGAAATGTCTTCTAAAGGAATAGAGGGTCCATCAGCAATATTCCCTCTCATATGCTAATTTTACTGTCTATGTTACATTTAACTAAATATACTTGAAATTCAGATTGGCAAAGCATGGAGTAACTCAGGTAGTTAATGTTACTCCTGATATCACCCCCTTGACTCAAATCATAAGAAAACAAAACCACAGAGACGCATGGAATCTTTAAATCCAGCCAGGCTGGTAAAAAAAAAATGTCTGCAGACCAGTTTCCTCTCAATGTGATCTTTCTAGAAATAGGGATTTATCTTTTCTTACCAGGAAGTTTGACTTGAGAGCCTGAGTTTTTAACCATTCAACTATTTCCTTTTATTGTGTAACTTCTCAGATGTGCCCAGGGATACATGGCTTTCAGAGGATTTTAACCTACATTTGTCATTTGAACCTCCCATAGTCTTAAAAGACAGGAATCACTGGCTTCATTTTGTAGACAAAGTTTGCACTGCACTGCTCTTTGGCCACCATACACTGACACCTCCCAAACAAGTGCCAATCATTAGCTTGTGATGGGAACAGGACAGATCAATAAAGAGTTATACATTATAGCTCTCTGCAGACAGCTAATGTATCTTTCAAAATAAATTATTTTCTTCTTTTTCAGAGATAGAATCTGGCTTAGCTCTTTAGATTTGACTAACAGAATGAACATTAGCTATTTCTGCCCATAAACTTAATAATAACTTTTTAGCTTGTATATACACCTCTAGTATTACAAATAATTTCCGATCAAAGTAGCAGGAAGCACAAATCCAGCTTTAGCTCCATCATGAATCTGAGCATCTCTGAAGCTCCCCAGGTAGGACAGTGAGTGAGAGTAATACTCAGCTCTCTGAAGAAACCCACTGTACTCCAAGAAGAAGGGTGGTGTCTCAGAGAAAGCAAAAAGCTAAGGACTGAATGATGAGGGTAAGAATTCTTGTTCTGCCATGTACATGTACAGGTTAAATAAATCACCTCTCTGTGAGTCCCAAGTTATAAACACTTTCCTCTTTTACCTAGTAACACACAAAGATGGACAGCTCTGCAGGGATACTCCATTTCCCTATTTCTAATTCAGGACACTGTAAAGTTAAATTGAATCACTAAAGTTTATAGGGATATAAAGAAAATAAATATTACATTGCCAGAAATTTAGGGCAATTGTAGAAAAGAGAAAAAGATCAGAAGACCAGTTATTTTCTTTTTCTTAAAACAAAACAAACAAAACAAAAGAAGCAGGTACTGGGGACACCATCTACCCTTTACAAGGGCACTGCCACATAGTCCAGTTTTATGCTCTATACTGAAAATAGCTGGCCAACGTCATGAAGGTAGTAGTTCAAGTTAAAAAATATGAAGAAATAAAAAAAACTGACAGTGGTATCTTGCAGTTTTGCTCTGAATGTGGCCCTTAAAATTATTTAACAGCTAGCAGTTACTCAGGAAGCATGCCTCTTCATCAAGACATGATTTCCTGCTTCTGCATTTGGGGTAGCAGTCACAGCCCTGGGACCTTTTCTGGAGGGTGAGGGAGGTGACATTAGGTTAGTTCATTCTGATGGTAGGAAATGGCAGCATGAGTCTTATAGCTTACTTCTCAAAATGATGAGCTTTGCCCACTGAGTCTGATTAAGCAGGCAATAACAGATGTGACAAACTCAACATCTAGGTAATTAATTAGCATTCCCACTTTCATATCGTTACTTTCTGTTTAGAGCCTCTGAGATTCTTTCAATTATTCATAAAATACATAATAGTTTATTGTGAAATATAGGCACTCCACTATGCTAACTATCCTGATTTGACCCATATGCATTGCATATATATATTACTATACTGTATCACACAAAATGAACAATTAAAATTATAATAAAACAAAAAAAATCTTCCAACATCTATCTATAATCATAGGCAAATATAAAAGAACACAAGATTTTGGTTCAGGTATTATTTTAAAAAAATTTTAATAAAAGTAAACAATGTTCAGAGCAAAAAATTAAAGAAAACTGAAGAATTAAAATGAAAATTTCCCCCGTTTTACCCTAGTCATTAGTGCCACTCTCCAGATGCAATCACTATTTGAGCTCTTTCTAGAAAGCTTTTATTCATGTCCAAGTATCTAAACACTACCTAAAAATTTGCCTCCAAAAGTACACACATTACTTGGTGGCACACACCTATAATGCCAGCAAGTGGGAGGTTGAGACAGGAACATTATTGTGAGTTTGAAGCCAGCCTGATCCACAAAGTGAGTTCAAGGCCAGTCTGTATTACAAAGTAAGACCCTGTTCTCCAATCTAGTCCAATTCAAACCAAACCAAACCAAAATAAATCAAGCCAAACCAAAACCCCAAAACCATGTATTTTAACAACTTTCCATGCCAATATATACATTTACCTTATTTTTTTAAATAGTTACCTGGTATTTAGTTACACAAATATAATTTAGCTAGCCCTATTGATAAGCACTAAGTCTGTTCTAATTTTTTTTTTTTACTATTATAAACACAGCTGAAAACTTTCCTTGATCACCCATGTTTGTCCTTGTGGAAGAATATTCTTTTTTTTTTTAAAATCGGTACCAGGGATCGAACTCAGGACCACCTGCTTGCAAGGCAGGTGCTTATGCCGCTGAGCTAAATCCCCAGCCCCCGTGGAAGAATATTCTATGAAGGGATAAATTTCCATAAATGGAATCATTAGGAAAAAGAGTATCTAATTCATTTTGATAGGTACTGCAAAACTGTCACTCAAAATGATTGTAACATCAATTTATACCTCTACCAACAGTACAAATGTGCCCATTTCTCACCAGTGTCACAACTTGGTATTATGAAATCTGTTCATCTTTAGATATGTATTTCTAGCATATTAAAAAAAACTGCAATCTAACTTTTATTGCATAGTCTGCATGATAAAGAAAACAAGGTATCTGAGAAATAACTAGTTTTGTTACAGAATGTTAACAAGTTTAACACTTATAAACTCCCTGAACTACCTGAAATGAACTCCTTTTATAATCCAAGTACTTGGGT